CCACTTCTTTTAGTCCACTAGCTTGACATCTATATTCGTCGCTCTTTTTGAAATCAATGTTTTTTCCTTCTCCTCTTCAGAATTCAAGTCTTAGAACCACCATTTTCTTTGAACACTGAATCACGTTTTGGTTGCTCATCTATGACATCGAATTGGTATCTGTTCTAAAGGATTTTGCATGTGGGTTGTTTTGAATGAATGCTTTTCCTCATTGCCGATGACAACCTAAGATGTTGAATTACTGTAGTTATTGTTGCTCATATGTGTTTAAGACACCTTGCTGGGCTTTGAATACTTTCATTGAATGCGTGCATTATATGTGCAAAGAAGGTGGTTAGACTGTCTCCATGGATGTCTTCTCATGTATTTATTGCATTACTTTTGTGGCTTTTGGAACAATGTTTACGTTTCCAGAATTGCAAATTCAGATTGCTGTGTCCGTTTACGAGCATAGCGTGGGCACTGCCAGGCAACAATAAGGAATTTAGGGATTCAGAGCTCCATAACCAAAGATAAGTATACGGATTTCTGCTGTTTTTTTTTGCCCCTTTGTCTCTTTTGGATTTAATATCTTAGTGGTTAGTTCCACCTTTTGTTTCTTTAGATGCATGAAGTACTGCCATTATTGACCACAATTTCTGGTTTCAGCCAATCATTATCCCTTTTTAGTTTTTTTTTTAAAAATAACTTGGATTGTTTATTAAGTTTTCTTTTAATTTTTTGTGGTTTGTTTTTGTTGAGATATGATTCAAAAAGATATGATACGGTAGTTGAGGTATGATTTAAATATTCAAACTTTAGTAGATTGTTGGTAGATTTGAATTTTTTTAGATTTACATGATTTACTATTTCTGTTCCAGTGTATAAACTATAAATACGAAAATTGTGCAATCTCTGCATCAAGTCCTGCATCAAGTCAGTAGACAATAATAAAACATGCAACATTCATCTTTTCTATTTATTCTATCTATTCTATTTATTTTATCTATTTTTATTTCTTTGGCATCCTTTTTCCAACGGTTTTTGCATGGAAATGATATTATTTATGGTTTATGATCGGAGGAGTGAAAATGGCAACTAAATCGCATATGAAGAGTGTTTGGGGTTAGAATCTCTTTATTAGGTACAAAATCTCGAAATTATTTTTTTTAAGGTAATTTTGAATGATTTTTAAATTTCGAAATTTATATGTTTTCAACATTTTTTTAATGCACAAACGAACAAATGTCGTAATTTTGTGAGGGCACATCATTATAACTTTTTGGATTTTTTTAATTAATTTATTTTTAATATTTATGTTCTCGTGAGACGGTTTCGCTGACCTCCAACATTTGAACGCGAAAAGATTTGCAGAATTTCCATGTTTAGGGTTTTTTCAACTAATTTGTTTCGAACTCTTTTTTACTCCTTTTTTCTCCTCTTACACGTCATTTTAGTGATATGATAATTTAATTTTATTTATTTTTAATTGGTTTTTGAAAAATATAAAACGTCGAATTTCGAATCCTCTCTCATTTTGGTTGTACTTACTAGACTATGTTTTGTTTTCTCTTCCTCGTCCATATCTTCTCTCTTTCTTTCACTGATGAGCGATCTATTTCCTTTTTCCCTCCAATACTTAGAGATTGGTTCGATCTTCCGCATTTCGTCACTTCTATAATGTTCTATATAGATTGAGTCCTCGTCGTCGTAGAACAGACGATTGCGGCTCATTTCGTTTCAGTTATGCTGTAACCACCGCGATCGACGATCTTTGTTGGTTTTCCGGCGATCGACGAGGTTTACAGGTACGCTTCTCGCGTATTAGTATTTTGTAATTACTTTTATCGATAGGTTTGAGGCGTTTTATGTTTTGGAACTGATCGGAAAATTTATGCAAATAAAAAGTCATGAAATCGTACTTTTAGTGGTTGTTTCTGAGTTCCTATGCGAAAAGGAAAAGTTAGTTTCAGTGTTGTGAGGGATGGAAACAAGGAGTGGATGATCAGATAACAATAGGCGTGACATGAGAGGAAGAGTCGGAGGGCTGTCTGTTTCATTTATCTCTCTAATCTATTCCTAGAGATCGGTTCGATCTTCCACATTTCTCCTACTCTATAGTGTTCTCTCTAGATCGTGTCCTGGTCGTCGTATTGCCGATTGTTGCTCATTTTGCTTCAGTTTTGGTGGAACTACCGCCTGATTGTGCGAATAGTGACGACTACGGTCTCTGTAGGTTCTCCTGCGTTCAGCGAGGATTTCAGGTACTCTTCTCGCGTGTTAGTATTTAGTGATTACTTTTCTCGATCGTTTGAGGCGTTTTCCATACGTTCTGGAACTGATCGAGAAATTTACGGATAGAAAAAACGTGAAATCATACTTTTGTCGGTTGTGTCCGAGTTCCAATGCGACAAGGAAAAGTTAGTTTGTGTTGTGACGGATGGAAACAAGGAGTGGACGAGCAGAAAAGGATAGGCATGACACGAAAGGAAGAGTCCGAGAGCTGTCTATTTCCTTTTTCTCTCTAGTCTTTTCCTAGAGGTCGGTTCGATCTTCCACATTTCTCCTATTCTTTAGTGTTCTCTCTAGATGGAGTCTTCATCGTCGTAGAATAGCCTATTACTACTCATTTCCCTTGATTGTGCGAATAGTGACGATTACGGTCTATGTAGGTTCTCCGGCGTTCAGGGAGGATTTCAGGTACGCTTCTCGCGTGTTAGTATATGGTGAATTACTTTTCTCGATCGTTTGAGGCGTTTTCCATACGTTCTGGAACTGATTGAGAAATTTAAGCAAGGAAAAAACGTGAAATCATACTTTTGTCGGTTTTGTCCGAGTTCCAATGCGACAAGGAAAAGTTGGTTCGAATGTTGAGGGACAGAAACAAGGAGTGGATGAGCAGAAAAGGATAGGCATGACATGAAAGGAAGAGTCGGAAAGTTGTCTATTTCCTTTTTCTCTCTAATCTATTCCTAGAGATCGGTTCGATCTTCCACATTTCTCCTATTCTATAATGTCCTCTCTAGATCAAGTCCTCGTCGTTGTAGTATAGCCTATTGCGACTCATTTCGCTTTAGTTTTGGTGGAACCACTGCCTGATGGTTCAAATAGTGACGACTACGGTCTCTGTAGGTTCTACGGCGTTCAGTGAGGATTTCAGGTACGCCTCTTGCGTGGTAGTATTTAGTAATCACTTTTCTCCTTCGTTTGAGGTGTTTTGCATACGTTCTAGAACTGATCGAGAAATTTACGAAACAAAAATCGTGAAATCATACATTTGTCGGGTGTGTCAGTTCCGCGAAAAGGAAAAGTTAGTTTCAGTGTTGTGAGGGATGGAAACAAGTACTGGATGAGAAGAAGAGGATTGGCATGGCATGTAAGGATGAGTGGGAGGGCAAGTCTAAGCACATTTTTGGAGGTTAAGTTCAAGTAAAGTAGGAGTTCAGCCTCTCAGACCTTAAAACTTTGCTGTTTGTTTGGCCTTTTGCAATGCCATGAAATCTGGCTATCTGAGCAGGAGAATCTTCATTGCTTCCGTCACTTCTGTTCACAGCCTTCCCGCTGCCATCACTTTTACTTTCCTTTCTTCTTTCTCTTAAAATTTATATTTCCGTTAACAAGAATTTTAACCTTACATGCATTAGCATCCATAGAAAGTAACGAATGAATGGTGCAGTCATTGGAGGAAAGTTGTATACTATCCTTTTGTAGGTTTTGATTTTTCTAATTATTTTCGTTGCCTATCTGATTCCTTATTTCTTTACACTTGAATTTTTAAATAAAAGATTTAATAAATCTTTCGTTGATGATTGAATAAAGATAAACAAGGCTTTGGTCGTTGAATTTTTCACTTTCATACTTTGCATGTATGATCATATGAATTCATATTCTTGTTTTTGACACGCTATTTTTCTTTGATTTTCTCCTATGAAATATTGTTTTTTTTTAAGTCTGAAAAACAGTTTTAATAAGTATGATTAATTAATGAAACATATGATGAATTCATGTGTGATCGTAAACTATCGGACACTTTTATATAAATTCAATTGACTACTATTAGTTACAATTTTTTTAGAAAAAATACTTTTAGTCAGGGAACTTTTATCAATTTACATGCAAATTTTAAGTTCGGAGGTTAATTTGTGTTTGACAAGCCAAAAGGAATTTGAAATCAGAATGGAAAATTTCCCTCGTATTCGGTAGAAAACAAATTCCTACACATTAACTGACTTTGACTTCCGAACCTAAAATCCTGGACTCGTGCTCGTCCGTCATGTTTTTTTTTTCTCATTATTATCTTCATACTTGATATTTTGGCTGAATGCACATTATGATACACTTTGTTACTTCAGTCAATTTACTCATCCGTTTATAATTCTATAGTTTCTCAACCTTGTGGTATAGATCATTCGTTAACAAAAACTCGATATATGCTGACATAAAACTTCTCAACCCATTGTTTAGCTAAATTAATTTTTATACACGTCCACTTTGTGTACAAATTAGTTTGAAGAGGTAAGAAACCAAACAAGTTAGAACCCACATTTTTTACCATTAATAATTTATTTACAATATTTCAAAATAAAATATGATTTCAATAGTCATGGATACCTGAGAATTAATTTTTATCTGTTCTAAGTTGAAGACATGATAAATAACCAGATTCAAATGGTATGGTTGGATGACTCATTTTGTATGAAAGGTCAAATGCAGAACAGACAGATTTTCAAAAATTGCTTGTGACAGAACTTTTTAAAAAATAGTTTTAGCAACCATATTGTTGCCATTTCAGGTAATCAGTCAGTGTCCACAAAAAAGGAGATTCAGGGGTTGTTATAAAACAAAGAAATAAAATATATTTTGAAAATACTAATCAATAAAAATAAAGATTTGGGTAAAAGAAAAACACTAGATGCTAATTACTGTATCCACAATCGACAATAATTATTCGATCGGCTATATTAATAAAATAAAAGCAAATTCCCTTTATGCCTTCCATTGCGTACTTTTATCTAATTTTTGAGATATAACTGGATATCTAATTAAAACATGCAAAATTGAAAAGAAAGTAATTGGGGTATTCAAAAGGAGATGGATGCTTAATTTTTAGTTTAAAGTAATTTGAAACACTAACTAGAGTTCCTGGGTGGAGAAGTGCAAAATAAGATGGAAGCATATTTCTGATTCTAAGACTGAGAATTTTTCCTACTTATTAAGCAAATAAATAATAAAAAAAAGTCGAATTCCCTCACCTATGTTTCCATACTTGAAACACTGATGCCCGTGAGCTCGATTTGCGCCACTGCCGTGTTGATCGCGTCAATTACATCCATTTTCCCCCGTGTCAGAGCTTCATCCATGGGAGTTTTCTCATGGCTATACACAAATATAATGTTTAAAATTTTACGAACAGATAGAGATCCATTTTATAATGTTTTTATTAAATCTCTCATCTAGTTATATATAACATACCTGTTCAATAGGCTAACATTCGCTCCTGACAAGATCAACTTCTCAACCACCTAAAGGAATGAGTGAACAAGTTGTGAAATAGAATTTTTACGATAAAATTAAATTAAATGATAAATTTAGTCTCTTAAAACTCTAAGAAGAAGTATTTAATAAGTTTCTAAATTATCTAAATTTTCTATTTCAAGTCCAACTTGTAAAATAGAACTTTTAAGTGTCAAAAATTATTACCCCAATGAATATAAAATTAAAAGTTTAAAAATTCTTTTAATAAAACAAAAATCAATTATGTTTAGTAGGTTTGAAAATTCAGAAAATGTTGAATAAACAAACAATCTATCAACTACAAAAATAAAAGTTTTAATGTTCTATTTGATACGTTTGAAGTTCTTGAACTTATCCATTATTGAAGTTAGGAGATATATAAGATATGAAAAATCAAAAACTAAACCTAGAAATTAGCTATAGAATTTAGAGCATTACCTCAATATGCCCGTTCAGACATGCCCAATGAAGTGGTGTATTCTTCTCTGCATTTAAAGCATTCACATCCTGCTCACACTCGAAGAGGTTAAAAATAAGATTGGAGGGTCAAGATTGCATGGGTAAAATTCGCTGAATCCAATCACAGGATTTAAAATGATAAGTTAAAATTGCCATTTTCATCAAACAGAAGATTAAAATAAAATAAAATTGGGAAGATACAGAGTAAGGCAAGTCGGTGACAAACATACAAGTGAACAAACGGAATTGAACTGTATCCAGTATAAAACACTACAACAGATAATATATATAGCGGGACTAGAGTCGTTGGAGAAATAACCAAGTTCAAATCAATCAGACAAAAGGAATTGTAGCAGTCCAAATTCATTAACTAAATAGTTCAACAGCCAGAATGACGTCAAGAATGATGATGATACGGTAATATAATCATCATTATGGATAACACAGATGCATGGAAAACTGATGCAAGGAGCTGTTTCTTGGGAAAGGCCAACCCCTCTGTCAACTGTTAGTCAGTGGAGAAAAATAGATAACCCAAGCAGCAGGTAAAATTACAAGAAGTAGATATCTTACCACTCCCTTACTTATGAGAAACTCCACTATCGAAAGATGTCCATTGGCAGCAGCCATGTGTAGAGCTACAATCAAATAACAGAGATTACAATGAAAGAGCTGACTTGATAGCATTCTCAATGACTCCATACTCACCGAATGGTCTAGAAATTAGCAAAATATTCTTACACCCAAAACAAAATCAATGAAGTTCACATCTGAGAACCTCGACTAACTAAAAAATTGTTGTTTGTAAATTGAATTACAAAATATACCACGACTGAAAGTATGAGTATGTTCAATAGAGTAAAAGTCCCCATTCAATAACCATCTTGTTTATGATTTTTTCTGTTTTAAAATATTGCTCGTTTCTTAAACACTTTTGGTTAGGCGTTTCACATTTCTTAAAAACACTTTTCAATTGTAAGCCAAAATTAAAAAAACAAAATCTAAAATGTAAGAACTACATTCTTTTTTTTTTTCTTTTTTTTTAGTTTCAAAATATTGGCTTCATATTTCAGAACGTTTCCAAAAATAGGTAACAAAACAAGAAAGCTATAAAAGAAAATAGTGTTTATGAGCTTAGTTTTCAAAAACAAAATGTTTATCAATTCAGCATTAAGTGTTTTTTAATAGGAACAAAAGCTTTAATTGAAATGTTGGAATAGCTGAGGGAACATAAGTCGTAGACTAAACTTGTTAAATCATCAAGCAACCTTTTTGGTTAACGAGTGATTTAACAGGGATATCAAAGTTTTCAACAAACCACTTCAACACTTCCCCAACTTATGGGATTGAAAATATGACATCAGAGGGTTTGAACATAGGACCTCATGCTCTAACTCCTACTCTGATACCGTTTTGAATCACCAATCAATCATCTCATAAGCTTAGGCATTTTGTTTAATGGCGATTTAACAAAAACTCATAAAATAATTGGATTTCTATATCAAGCTATTGTGATGCACATAAATAAATTAAAAAAGCATATTGTCAAATATTGAAGAAAAATACCAGTTCGGCCCTCGGAATCCTTGGAATCGAGGTGAACACCAGCAGAAGCAAGACTTACTACATCATCGATATCATTGTATCTCGCAGCCTGTCAAGTGACATCACAAAATCCAAGTCCTTCATTACTGGACCCTTAAATAACAAATATATAGATCAGTTTCTCAAATATGATGTACTAAGTTTCCAAAATCATTGCATAGGTGATCAATTTGCTAATCCACAGTATTCTTGTTGTTTGTCGTTTCCTTGGTCAAAATGCGAACCAAAATGCTCTCCATGACGTTCTATGACCTTATGATGACTTAAAATTGAAGAAACATAGCTTCTACCACGACACTTAACACGGCAGAGTAGTGTTCAGTTTAGATTCCTTATCATCGAATAGGAAACATCATTTTAGATTCCTTAGCATCGAATAGGAAACATCCGCATTTTCTAGAAATTTGCTTGTTATAATTCAAACCAAAAGCTTCAATGAACCGCAGATATTATGTAAATTCTGAAAAATACAGAAAAGAATAACAGTCACATACGAATTTTTCATTTATGCTTTCTCGAGAATTGGTTGAGGACAAGTACTGAGCGACTTTTATTGCTATTTAAACATGTGGTATAAAAGATTGAAGGTTCACTGAACTGAAACGCGAATTCGTTTAAATGCACCAAGGAAAACTATATGTAAGATTGATAAGAAGATAAAGAGATATGGAAGGAAAACTATACGGAAGAAAAAGTGAACAAACCAGAAATAAATGTTTTAATAAAGAAAGAGGATGAAGATTTTACATCAACCAGAGCTTCGATGTCATCCGTAGTTGTTCCCACGGTACTCTGCTCTTCCAATCGATTCTCTTCCACTACCATCGTGCTGCCGCTGAAGTCTCCAATGTGAAGAATCCTTGACAATCTGGACTGTAACTCTTCCTGACGATCGCCTAATCAGTCTAACACTGGTAAAGAGAAAGTGAACCAGAGAACACGCAGAAACCCTAAATCGGCGATTCTAGGAGAAGAGAGCGAAGCACCTACTGGTCGCAGCGTCAGAGCAAAGCTAGAGCTTGAGGCGTAATTCCCGCGTTACTGCCGCATTTTAAGTTATTTAGTTTTACCGGGTCACCCGACTCGATAGTCAACCCGAATGTCGGGCAGGCCGAACGTAACTATTTCATGGGCCCAATAAACTAATGGTATGGGCCGCTTATGGGAAAATATTAGGTCACGATTTTTCAGGGAAGAAAAAATATATAATTATCGAGAGAAATAAAATATTCTTTTGGGGCTAAGTATATGCATTGACAAAAAAAAAAAAAAAAAAAAAAAAAAAGATTAAATTATGTTTCTTGTCCCTCAATTTTTTAAAATAAATTTAATCGGTCCCTACTCCGTTTGATATATTGTTTAGATATTTTTTCTATTTTAAATATAGAACATTTAAATTAAAAAAGTAACGATATTTCCTCTATCTTCTCTAATTCACTAATTAATCTTGATTAAGCTTTTGATTTATAGTGAGTGGTTTAACATGATTTCTAAGTTTTGAACAGTTCACTTCAACAAGTGAAAATCAATATAAATTAGAAAGGAAATGACACTATAGAGTTTGAACTACCTCCTTTATGATACCATTTTAAATCATCAACAAATAAAATAATTGGATTTCCAAATGAATCGATTGTAATGCACATAAAAAATATATGTATATATTGTCAAATATGGAAGGTAAGAAATACCAGTTCGGCCACCGGAATTCCTTGGAATCGAGACGAACACCAGCAGAAGCAAGGCGCGTTACATCATCTACATCATTGTATCTAGCAGCCTGTCAAGTGACATTACAACATTTAAGTCCGTCGTTACTGGAGCCTTAAAAACCACCAATATCTTGATCAATTTCACAAGTATGATGTACTACTTTCCTAAAATTATTTCATAGGTGAACAATCCGGTGTTTTCGGAATTCAAGTTGTTCATACATTTCCTAGGTTAACATAGGAACGAAAATGCTATTCATAACGTTATATGACCTTACGATGACTTGAAATTGTAGAAACAATGCTTCTACCACTGTACTAAACTCGGCAGATCAGTATTTGATTTAGATTCCCTACCATCGCATAAGAAACATTCGCATTTTCAAGAAATTTGCTAGTTGTAATTCAGACCAAAAGCTTCATTGAACCGCAGATATTGTGTGTGAATTCTGAGAAATATTGAAAAGGATAACAGCCACATAGGAATCTTTCACTTGTGAGTTTCTCGAGAATTGTTCGAGTGCAATTACTAAGCGACTTTTATTGCCATTCAAGAATGTGGTATAAAAAATCCATGGTTCACTGAAGTTCAACGCTTATTCGTTTAAACGCACCACGTAAAACTCTATGAAAGATTGATAAGAAGATAAAAAGATATTCTGCAATGGAAGGAAGAGAGAACAAACCAGAAATAGAGAATTTGATACGGAAAGAGATTGAAGATTTTAAATCAACGAGAGCCTCGATGTCATTCATCGTTGTTTCCACGGTGCTCTGCTCTTCCGATCGATTCTCTTCCACCACCACCATCGTGCTGCCGCTGAAGTCTCCAACGCGAAGAATCCTTCACAATCTGGAATGTAACTCGCTCTGACTATCTCCTAATCAGTTTAACACAGTAAAGGGAGAGTGAACCAGAGAACACGCAGAAACCCTAAATCAGATATTCTAGGAGAAGAGAATGAAGCAGCTACTGGTTACAGCGTCAGAGAGAAGCTACAGCTTGAGGCGCAAATTCCCGCCTTATTGCCGCCTTGCAAGTTCTATAGTTTGTATCGGATCCTCCGACCCGATAACCGACCCGAATATCGGGCACGCCGAAGGGGGCAACTATTTCATGGGCTCAATTTTATTGGGCCGTAAGCTAATGGCCTGGGCCGCTTTTTACGTCGGGATTTACCGCGAGAAATAAAATGTTTTTTGGGCTAAAGATATGCAAAATAATAATAATAAATAAATAAAACCCATAAAAAATGATAAGTTTGAATTTTTTTTAATCTTTACGCGTTAAACTTAAAAAGAAATAATTTATAAAATCTTTGAGAATATTTCCCTTTATAAACGTGAGATATGAATTATTTTACTTTTTTGATAATTGACATGTATTTATTCAAAATTCAATTCTAGCTGTTATATTCAAAATATATATAAAAAAAATGTTTTATTAAAGGGAAAAATTATATTCACCGAATTGATTGGAAAACCCCAATGTCGGTTGAAGCTAAATTACGTAAAAGGGTTTAGAATAAAACAAGGGAAGTAATTTGGGTCAAAAGAAATCAAATTTGACTATGAACATATATAACCCTGAACTTAATATAAAAGAGGCTTCATCTTCACAAGTTCTCAAATTTTTCACCAAGAACTCTTTGGATCTCAAGTAGATAATATTTTCGAGCATCTGTTATTTTCTCTTCTGGTTCAGAATAATTCTCATCATCGCCTTTCTTTTCAAAGTTTTGATTTGTGCTGAAGAACTGTTCGCGTCCTGTGTAATCTAAAGCGAGAAAGATCGGAGGAGAAACCCTCGCGTACTCGCTATGACTTCTTCCGGAATCTCTCTCAAAAGCGCCGAATTGTCAGATGCCGTTCAAGACCTGAAAGTTTGCGACCAGGTTTCATTCTCTCTCTTCATTTCGAAGTTGATATACTTTCACGAACTTTCTTTATCGTATAAAATCAGCGGCGTAAAACTTGGCGTGGGAATGGTCGTCTCCGATTTGTGTTGAGAGTTTTAATTAGAAGATTTGTTTTGATTTAGTCTCGTTGTCATTCATTTTCAAGATTTGCTTTTCTGGGGGGCTTATTGAAGTCTGAGATCGTCGGTTCAGTCTTGTTTTCTTTCATTGTCTAGATTACGCACATCGGGAGGCTTGCTTTCTGCGTTTATCATCTAGGAAGAATATGGTTAAAACGAATTGAATTCATGTTTGTACCATAAGAAGCAGAAGCAATTGTTTGTGTTTATCCGACTGCCAGTTTGGATTGCTTCGTCTCCCACTTGCGAATTTGGTCGATCTCCTGCGCATGCTTATTTATTTTATGAAAACCTTCCTCTGTTGCAATCAGAGTTGCATATCTATGATTCTGTTGGTCTTTTTTCAATTATTTGCGCATACATACTTCGAGGATTGCCAACTTGCTGTACTTGCACGTTCAGGAGGAAATGTGGAAGAAGTTAGAAATGCAAAGAACAGGGCATGGGAGTCATGGCTCATGTGCAATTTGCTTAAATAAAATATCTCTGCCAGAAACTGCTTTAGTTAGAGGTTGCGAACACGCCTATTGGTTAGTTCTAATTGATTAATCTTTTGTCTACTAATTAATGTTTTTTATGGAATGACTTTCACCTGCTTCAATACATTAGGTAATTGTTGATCTGTTTCTTTCCAGTATTTGTATGGGAATCCTTTTTGCAGTTAAATGTTGAAGTTCTATAGATGGTGTAATTCTAATGCCTGCTTTTATCATTTTTATTTCATTTTGTTGCGACTATATGCTTGTAATGGAGATGGAGTGTAAAGTTCTTGCGAACATATATTCCCGGGACTCTGCTAAACTTTGTGGGAGAAAATTCAATGTATCCATATTGTCTTTTGTGCAATGTTTCTAATATTACTTGAGGTTGTTCGGGTTTAATTGAAGAGGTATGCTGTTCTAGGCTTATAACCAAAGCATCTTGGAGTAAGGAAATTGTATGGTACTGAGCCTAATGGAATCTATAGTTTGATTTTCTTTGAAATGCTTGCTTGATGAGACTTGGATAGAAATTTGTTGTTCTTTGAAGCATTAGAAATTTTGTCCTTGTTTGTTTGTGGAATGAAGGTGACCTTTTTATAGCTGTGCATATGGGCGTTATCTTATTTTGTTTCATCTTTCTTTTACTTTCATGAAGTACGACTTGCATCCTTCGATGGGCCTCATACACTCAAAAACCCACTTGTCCGCAATGTAAACATCCATTCGAGTTCCTGATTGTGCATCGTTCTCTGGACGGGAGGTATGTCCTTTCATCGTTTTATGGACCTTTCATCGTTCTCTTGACGGGAGTTTGAACTCTAGGTGGCCTGGTACCTTTTTTAAGTTTCCGTTCTTACAATATATTGTTTGTGCATTGTTTAGCATCCATGACTATATGTTTGAGGAGAGCGTATGCCTACTTCTAAGAGCTTCGTGGTATGAGCCACTGATTGTTAAAGATCGGGAGGAAACCTATGATGATCCTGAGGAGTACTATCCTTATGAGGATCAGGACGAAGAGCTTGAGGAAGCTTACCTGGGTGATTCGCCAAGTCTCCGAATCGGCAATCGGAGGTGGGGAGACAATGGTTACGTAAGGGCAGGTCGACAAGAAGCCCGACCAGTTTTAAGGCCAGAGTTTTCTGGAGCTAGCTCATCACGGGAGCCTACGACAAAAGATGCTTCCAAGGATAAAACAGGTCGACGAGCTAAAAGGGCATTGAAACGGGAAGCTGCTGATAAAGCTGCAGCAGCTAAGCATCAAGAACATTTAGCTAGGTTTGGCCTGAATTAACTTTATGTCGTGCTCCTGTATAGAAATAAGCCTGCGCTTGACCTTGTGTACAGTTTCTAAGATTCATTTTAGTTTGCTGGGCGATGTGCTTTACCAGATGCTGGTAGCTCCAAAGAAATCTAAGATGGAGATCATAAATACCTACGAGGTGTACCATTGAATTCTTTATATAAACATTGGCTCTCAAAAGTAATCATAAAAGTAATAAAACTTTACCAATCTCTTATTTTTTTTTTTTTTAGGGTTATTGTTGAGAATTATTGGGAGTGAATTTCTGGTTAATTTTCTAGAAGATCATGAGTTTATAAGTAAGAAATACTAGAAAGTCCAAAGTAAAGCTGTGAGCCTAGCTCAAAGTGGACAATATCTCTATTGGTTGGTACGAGACTTTTTGGAGACTTTTTGGGAAAAGTGGATAATATCATAAAAGTGGATAATATCGTAAAAGAGATAGATGACTTTAGTGTTTGCTATTCCGTATGAAATTAAGTGGAAGAAGCTTGTACTTTAACAATTTGGCTAAATTTGTCCTCATTTTATCAAACTTGTTTGAATTGAATTCATCCACCCAACATATATAAAACTGAAAAAACGTTGAGCGTTCGTGCCGATCACTCCGAAAATTGTGCTTGGCCTTTACTCGGCCGCAGCAGCCTTCCGGATCCGAACAAGGTTAAAAAATTTAGGCCAATTTTCCTTTAAATTCAAAATAATCCCACAAATAATCCCAAACAAGTTTTCGTTCCTAGAATTGTCAAAATACATGTCTGCTCACCAACAAGACCAACTTCTTCATCAACCAAAGATTTTTAAATATCACCTCAAAAATCTCGTCTTGCAATCAACCCTGGTTGGTCCAACTAATAATCCCAAGCTCTCCTTCACTCTCAATCAGGCTTGTAGCCATGAAAAACTCTGCACAAGTTTGAGCTCGAGATCACCAAACAATGGCGGTTTGCTTTCAAAAACGATGCATTACAGACGATTCAACCACCCTCTTCTCAACATCCAACTCGCCGGAGGAAACCACCAGTGTTTCCTCCTCTTCTTCCCACCACCACTCCCCACCGTTACCCACCGCTTCCATTTCCATTAAGAAACTCTCTGTCAGGAATCTCTCATTTTCTGTTCTTCCAAAAAGTTCATTTCCCGAGCTGATTCGAAGACCCAAACCCATTAACGTTCTCAGCTCTGTCTCATTTATGGCAAGAAGTTCTCAAGTTCTCGCCATTGTTGGCCCAAGTGGAACTGGCAAATCTTCTCTGCTCAGAATTCTATCAGGGAGAGTGAAAGAGAAGGATTTCAACCCCAAATCGATCTTAATTAACAATCAAACGATGAAAAGTCCTGAGCAATTGAGGAAGTTATGTGGGTTCGTGACACAAGAAGACAATTTGCTTCCTCTTCTGACTGTAAGAGAAACCTTGATGTTCATGGCCAAATTGAGGCTCAGGGAATTGGGTTCAGAAGAGATAGAAGAAAGAGTAGAGAGATTGATGCAGGAGCTTGGATTGGTTCATGTGGCAGACAGTTTTGTAGGAGATGAAGAGAAGAGAGGGATATCTGGAGGAGAAAGGAAAAGGGTCTCAATTGGAGTTGAAATGATCCATGATCCACCAATTCTTCTCCTTGATGAGCCAACTTCAGGCTTAGACAGCACTTCCGCCCTTCAAGTGATTGAGCTTCTCTCTTCAATGGCTACAACTAAACAAAGAACAGTGATTCTTTCAATCCATCAACCAGGCTACAGAATCCTCCAATACATTTCCAAGTTCTTGATTCTATCCCATGGTTTAACAGTTCATTTTGGAAGCCTCAAATCACTGGAAAAGAGGATCGGTGAAATGGAAATTCAAATCCCAATTCAATTGAATGCCCTAGAATTTGCTATGGAAATCATTGATAAACTGAAAGAAGAAGAAGAAGAAACCCAGCTCTCCTCCTCCCCAGATTGGCCAGAAGAAGCCATTGAAAGAGTTCAACAAGATAACAATACCAGCAAACAGATATCATTCTTTTCCACATCAAATTTCCTAGAGATTATGATTCTTTGCTCAAGATTCTGGTTGTTATTATACAGAACAAAGCAGCTATTTCTAGGAAGAACATTGCAAGCCATTGTTGGAGGAATAGGGCTCGGAAGTGTTTACCTGAGAGTGAAAAGAGATGAAGAAGGAGTTGCAGAAAGATTAGGGCTCTTTGCTTTCAGTCTCAGTTTGCTTCTCTCTTCCACAGTTGAATCTCTCCCCATTTTCCTCCAAGAACGAAGGGTTTTAATGAAAGAAGCCTCAAGAGGAGTCTACAGAATCTCCTCTTACATGATAGCCAACACCGTCGTCTTCCTTCCATTTTTGCTCGCCGTCGCCGTTCTCTTCGCCGCTCCAGTCTATTGGCTCGTAGGGCTAAATCCGTCGATCGAGGCCTTCGCCTTCTTCACGTTCGTCGTTTGGCTCATCGTAATGATGGCTAGTTCGTTGGTGCTCTTCCTCAGCGCCATTTCGCCGGATTTCATCACCGGAAACTCCTTGATCTGCACCGTCCTAGGCGGATTCTTCCTCTTCTCTGGCTACTTCATTCCGAAACAGAACATTCCGAGATTTTGGATGTTCATGTACTACATCTCCCTGTATCGGTACCCTTTGGAGGCGATGCTGGTGAATGAGTATTGGAATGCTAAATTGGAGTGTTTTTCGTGGATTGATCAAGCGCGGCGACCGGTCTGCGTTCTCACCGGCGACGATGTGCTGAAGAACGCAGGCCTTGGTGGGGATATTCGGTGGATGAATGTGGGGATTATGATTGGGTTTTTCGTGTTCTATCGATTGCTCTGTTGGATTGTTCTTGCTCGCCGAGCTTCCACAACAACTATATGATTTCTCATCAACTAAACTTATGTTAATCAATAAAATGGTTTCTTTTCTTAAATCACAAACGTAATTCATAATTTTTTTTTATATATATGTAATATATATATTTATATGCATAATATATTAATAATATTATGATATAAATAGAAGGATTAAATAATAACACTAATTTTAAAAAAAAAATGTTGCATGTCTACTTTATAATTATATTAAATAATATAATTTTTTTGTTAAAAAAAAATTAAAATAATTATTGGTAAGTAAAAGAAAATAAAATAATATTTAGAACTTTACATGAACACTGAAATAAACTAAAAAATGAACCACCAATTAGGGACTCTTCTTTTATTTGTCGATGCTGACTTGGCCATTTAAAGGACCACTCGCTATTGTCTAATTCTTAAAACTTAATAAATGACACTTAATTCTTTATTTATTTATTTATTTTTTTTTTTTTTGCGTGTTTAATGCATGAGGGAAAGTAAAGCGGCAATGATACATTAAAAAATAAGAAATTAAACTTATATTTATTTATTTTTTATTTTTTTAGTTTTAGAAAACCTGGTAAATTTTTATTTTAAATTTTGGGGGAGAATTTAATATCAAGGGTAAATAATACGTGCAAGAAAAAGATTGAGCATTAATAGAATTAGGGTTGCCAAACATTTTTAATGCTAAGTATACAGCTAATTCAACATCTCAATTGAATTTAAAATAAATAAGATTCTTTAAAATTCAACCAGAATTGATAAATGTCATTAAAAAAAATATGTTTAATTAAAAAAAAAAAACAAATGATTGCATGCAGGTTGCTAGTTGATCCAATTTTGGAGAAAAACATCAAATTTTATCCTAATTTTATCGGATTGTCTCAAATTTTTTTTCTTTTTCATTTTAGGAAACCACGTAATTTCTTAGTTTTTTTTTTTTTTTTTTTTTAAGGAACCTCATAAATTTAGCACCTAATTTATTTGGGGATTGACTTTAATACATGACCTATATCAGGCTAGGGGAAAAGAATACGCGTGAGAGGAGATACAATATAATATAATTAAGGCTTGCCAAACCCTTTTCATTAACACTAAATTTGAACTATTTTATTAGTCACATGCATATATCTTTACTAGTTAAACTATATACGTGATATTCTATTGCATATAATATCTTGGTAGATGATACTGACCAACTTATATCACCACGTACTTAATCTTGAACTTCACTATGTCAAAGATATTTAGTCATGAATTATAGTTTACTATATATATATCACTTTGGTATTTTATTATAGGCAAATATCTAGATATTTGCCTTTTATTATTATCGCTTAGTATAGGTATATTCTCATTTATTATTCTTTCCATATCCTTATATTTTATTTGATTATAAATAGATAATTTTCACACTATTTATAGTAGTTTTAGCAAATATTCTCCCACCATAGCATTATCAAATTATTCCATTATTGTTACTCTTAATTGCTTTTATTTACTAATGGTAAGAAAGAAAGAAGAAAAAGATGGGAACTTACAAAATTAGAATAGGCATAAACTTTTGAAGGGTACCAAAAGGATATTCCCAAAGTAAATTTATGCAATATTTTTGGGTATAATATACTACAAAAGTAAGGGATCTTTAATCCCCTACACTTTTGTTCAAATGGGAATTTAATTTATACAAAAAAAAAAAAAAAAAAAAGTTTTAAATTGATCCATAAAAGTTTGTCACAATCCAAAATGTGCACCAAAAAGAAGGCCCCATGTAAAGTATTATATTGCGGAGGACACGGTTGGTTACCACATCGATCTCCATAAAGAGCCCTTCCCACAACCTTATTTGTCCTTAATTTTTTAGGGGCTTCGGAGTTTGGCGAAGCCACCACGTTTGAGCCATTTTCCCACCCGTTTTTGTCTTCTTCGGTCTCTAAAGGGTTGGCGTTGAATTGAAAAACCCTTTTGGACCCAAATTCTATTGCTCTTCCTCTTGTTCAATCTCTTCCTATTTGACTCCTTCTTTTACATCTCCACTCCCTTCTGAATTTCTGATTCTTTCGTTTTTTTCTACGTTTACTTCTTATGGTATGAATCAATGCCGTTTCAGTAACGCTGTGGTTTTCGTTTCTTTCATCGTTTCATTTGACTCACTCTTTCCATTTTTCTCTGGTTTTGATTTTGTGTTGAGTTTTGACTGTTTCACCCCAAATTTCTGAATTCCAGATCTGGATTTGTCATTTCATATTTTGTTCTTCTCTGGTGTTGAATTTAGTTGAATGTTTGGGGATTAGCAGATTTTCATTATCCGTTTGACTTTCAGGTGCAGCATTCTATGAAATGACAAGAAGCTGCTAACGTTTGATGAATCGAAACCAATGATAGGGAGGAAGACATCGCCAGGTTTTCTGGTGCTATTGGCTCTTGGCTTTTTTTTTGCTTCTTATAACTTGCTTACCATGTCTGTACGCTACAAAGCTTCGAAAGGGAGTGAGTTGTTTGATCCAGTTGTTCGAGCACCTGATGGAACAGAACGGGCAGGGAAAGGTATTCAAAAATTCCATGTTGCTGTCACTGCAACTGCTTCTACTTACAGTCAATGGCAGTGCCGGATCATGTATTATTGGTATAAGAAAGTGAAGGATATGCCTGGATCTGACATGGGCGGCTTCACTAGAGTTTTGCATTCAGGACTTCCAGATAATTTGATGAAGAAGATTCCAACTTTTATTGTTGATCCTTTGCCGGAAGGCTTGGATCGGGTGAGGAACATTGTTTTTTTTTGTCTGCTTGATCTCATGTCCTGTTCTGTTTGGGTGTTTTTGTGTTTGGCTGACCTTAATGAACTGAATTTTAATGAAAAATTCAGGGCTATGTTGTTCTAAACCGACCGTGGGCTTTTGTGCAATGGCTGGAGAAAGCAAACATTGAAGAAAAGTAAGATCGTTTTTGAGTTTTTTCTGCTAAAGATTTTCCTTTCCCTTTGATGAAATCTGAGGACAGGTGATTTTTGATTGATGCAGTTATATACTAATGGCAGAACCCGATCATATCTTCGTTCGGCCGCTGCCGAACTTGGCTCACGGAAAGAATCCGGTTGGATTTCCGTTCTTCTACATAAGGCCAACTGACCATGAGAAGATCCTCAGGAAATTCTATCCAGAGGAGAATGGTCCAGTGACCAACATTGACCCCATTGGCAATTCTCCTGTTATCATCGAAAGGGTAAACTTCTGAATTAGAAGAACAGCCAAGAGATGAAATTGTACCTTCGATTCGAAGTCGAGTCGAAGTTGCTATAATATATTGAGCTGCTTCTTCAACTTAGGATGATCAATAGTTCTGAATCTACTGACTGAGTTTTCTCTATTAGGCACTTCTGGAGGAGATTGCACCAACATGGGTGAATGTATCCTTGAGAATGAAAGATGACCCCGTTACTGATAAGACGTTCGGTTGGGTGCTCGAGATGTGAGTTCTTCTGGGATTGTTACTTCGGATCGATGTAACCAGGTTTGATCTTTGTATGAATTTGTTCATGTAGGTACGCCTATGCTGTAGCTTCTGCATTGCACGGTGTTCGGCATACGCTCCGCAAAGATTTCATGCTGCAGGTTTCACCTATTTTGATCCATAAAGTGGTTATATTTTGGAGGCCTGAACAGATTATTGACTTCCTGTGCTTAAGTGTTTCAGCCTCCTTGGGACTTAGAAGTTGGTAAGAAGTTCATCATTCACTATACCTATGGATGCGACTACACTATGAAGGTACAGATTATTCTTTAGTTATCAAAGAATTTCATTAGTAATTCTAAGTAGTCTATATCTTAACTCGTCTTTTAATGGCCAGGGAAAGCTGACATATGGTAAGGTCGGGGAATGGCGCTTCGACAAGAGAGCATATATCAAGGGTCCTCCACCAAGAAATCTTTCCTTACCTCCTCCCGGAGTTCCTGAAAGTGTAGTAAGTAATCTGTAACCTAATCTCATCTTCTGCAGAACCTATTTCATGAGATTTGGTTAAATTTTCGAGTTTATAAGTCGATTCTCTCGAGAAAATTGCGCAAACTTCTGTAAGTTTATGGATGTGTTGCTCTGATTTGGTTTTGCAGGTAAGGCTTGTAAAGCTGGTAAATGAGGCAACTGCAAATATAGCTGGTTGGGGGGACGCATAAACTGGTGCGGTTGATGGGAAGCATACACTGTTAGGAGCAAAATCTATGGTGGGGTTGTGATCAAAGTCGCCCAAATACAAATCAGTTTGAGAAGGGAGAAAAATATAGAGAGGGGAATTGTAACCTATGAAAAATAAATATATAATATATCTAACTTTTGAGATAAACCACATAATATACCATTAAATTCTTTACTGTTAGTATACGCTTGGCTTTCACAAATTATGCAAATTTATGTTGAACTACTTAAAAGTCAAAGATTCGAATTTTTCATAAATGATTAAATATTATAAATTTTAAATGAAATGATATTTTAAATCACTCGTTATCTTTTAAAAGAAAAATACGAATTTCATCCATAAATGATAAATGATAAATGAAAGGGAGGGCCCTTTAAACGGCTCCAATCACCTGAAGGCCGTTACAAATTCCATGCAAACAATTTAATTATTGGACCCCCAATAATGCCAAGAAGCCAGTCTGTAATTCCCCCTCCAGAGTATCGGTTTTGTTCCTATTGTGGGATTGGGGTTTTTCTTGGTATTCCCATTATACTCCTCATTAGTTCGTCCGTTTCACGGTTTTTAAACTCTCTGGTAAGTAGGATTTTTCCATCCTTATAAGAAATGTTTTGTTTTCCACTCCATCAAATGTGAGCTACATCCATTGGAGAGGGGAACGGGTGTAGAAACCTTTCTCTAACAGATGTATATTAAAGTCGTGAGGTAAACAACGATACGTAACAGGCCAAAGTAGACAATATCTACTAGCTAGCGGTGGACTTGGACTCGGAACATTCTTAATCTTCCTTATCTCACAAATATTAACATATTCATATTTCCAAAGAAGGCACAATGATGGAGCAGCATAGTGTGATAATATATTCAAACAAGATAATACCATGATTCGCATTTTTCTTTTCACTAGAAGATTCTTGCTTAGGTAGCAAGGATTTATAGAAGCCTTTGCCATTAGTATACACAAGGATTCCTATGTACATACATGTGCTACACAACAAGCCCCAATGGTGTTTTGTATACATATATAGAAGATGGATGCTCGGGTAAAACACGACGATGAAGATAAATGGTTCGTATAGCACCTACCGAGTATCTGTCACAATTTTGGGGTGCTTTTGTTCATCTCTTTGTCAGTTCCAACTAAACCATTTCCTATTGCTAAGCTCCAAACTGAAAGCTGAATAAGTTGCCTTCTATAAGGAATTAGACAATTCTTTAGGCCTGTCACATTTAACATATAATAAACAACTGAACCCAAGACACTCTCAAAAGAGACCCAAATATGTGATGCTGAGGCGTACCTGTGACACACACGGTTCGGTAAAGAGTAGCGATACGAACATCGCCCTTCGTAACCATATTAGGCCTTTCTAAGCACTCGAGAAATGCCAAATCAGCCTTTAACAACTCCGCTTGATTGTGAGTGTCATAACCAATATCATGGCAATAACAACAGAAGTCCAGCCAATCAATTGGTCGTTTATCCCAAATGAGAGACCCGTTGTCTTTCCCGCTAGACCAATTTGGACCACAGTAATGTCCATAACGTGGAAGCAGGTGAGAAAGAAAGGCTCTTACACCCGTATGCCATGGAACTTTACACACATAGGGTTTGAACCGTAAAGGGGATTCTCCACCTTGGTTCTCAATGGCTCTATCACGTTTCACTTCCCTTTTCAAGTTTCTATTAATAATTGCTTTCCCATTGCCATTATTTTCCCAAGGAAGCAGTGAAAGAAGGGAAAATCCCCATTTTCTGATATCAAAACGAGTATTTCGATGCCCTTGCTCCACCATGGCGCTTGAGTGCTCAAGACTTGGACGCAAATCATTGCTTCTTTGGGCACAAAACCAGGGAATATTATGAAGAAACTCCAAGTTCATCGCTAAGATCTCAAGAACTCACGGCCGAATTACACAAAATTGGCACCATACCAAATCTGCCAAGCATTTGAGCATCATTATCAACGTCAAATAATCAGCATACGAATTTCGATCCTTTTAGACGTCAAACCTCTAATACGATTGCATCAAAAACAAAATCAGGAAAAGGCTAGTAGCTCTGAAGTAAAAATGGTTAAATTCCAGTCCATAAAGTTTCGGGCGACAGAATAGGGTAAAAAATTAACAAGAAAAGTTGCTTTCTCGACAGCCAAACAGATTAATTCCTCCTATGGACGAAAATGAAAATGTAAATGATAAACAGAGATGAAGAATTACATACGAAGAATCCAGTAAGCGAGGAACAGACTTGAGGGAATCCGTCAACTGCCGAAGTAGATAGAGAACATTTCCTTCCAGTAAGAAGCCAGAGGATAACGGAGAGAAAATTCTGGCAAGAAAATTTTCCCGAGAAAATTCCCTTTCATGTCGATTGACAAATTTTCGTTCCTTAACAGATTACCCCATTACCCAACGCACCACACGCATTAAGCCCGTACAAATAACAAATTTGAGAATTCTTAATTGAATTATTCAACCTTTTATATTTTATTTTAACTTTTAAACTTAAAAAATAAAATTAATTTTTAATTAAATTAAAATAAAATAAAATTTGTTTGACCAATACATTGGTGTGAAACTGATATATTTTCCGCTGAAATAAACAATAAAAATATTAATTTTCTAAATAATTATAAATAATAATTTATTGTACTGATATGTCAATTTTTTACCATTTATGTTAAGATAAAATAACTTTTACATTAACAGTGCCAATATCAGCCTATATGCTCACCATTGATCAGCACGGTACGAGAAACGTGACTTTTACTAAAACAAAATCATACGTGGGTTGGAAAATTCAAACATACGACTTCTCGACTTCTCGAAACAAACCATAGATGCTAAAACGATAGATTATATAATGACTGGAAATTTATATGTACATATGTAAATAATATATCAACTAAAGCATTTCTTTATATATCTCAGTTTTATTTACAAGCATAACGATATATAAAAAAGACCTTACCGATTGTTGATATGCTGCCACACCAAAAGGGGCAATGGTCCACTGTTTCTTGAAGCCAACGGTTCACATCTTCATCTTCAACTACAATTCTCCGAGCATTTACGTGCAATACTCCACACGCTAATGAACATGGCGTAACGCCCCGTCTCAAGTCAATGAATTGCTTCGGAATCCCAAAGTTCCACCCGCTTGTAAACGACTGGGGATCATTCTCTACCGAAGCGTTGAATTGGCATGCAGACCATTTGATTTAGGGTCCTGAATCAAAGATCAGATAGTCTCGTCAAGAACAAGGTCAGCTGGGTCCCCGATCCAAGGACGACCTTCCCTCCACCTGAAACGAACTCTTACTTTTCCATTTGCATCAACACCTACTACTTTCCCTTTACTAGCATGTGTCTCCATTCCCCATCCCCATCTAGGGATTTTTAATCCTTCCCGAAATCTCACTGCGTCGCCAACTCGAAAGGGTCTCACCTTCTCCATCTCAGAGTCCTTGCACATCCACAGCCGCTCCGTAAAGCAGAAGGCGGCCCAAAGCTCCCCATCCTCCATCTTGTGGATAACCCCGACACTCTGACGGGAAACGTCCCCCCAATGATAAACAGGCATTACAATCGACGTCTTCACCTTCACCCAGTCTCCAATGTTGAGTTGCTCTTCCTCTACTAGAACAACTTCCGATGGATCGAGTGTCCATGGCTTTTGAGCAGCAGGAGACGATGCTCTAATTTTTCCATCTGCATCAATTGCTGTTATAGAAACAACGCTGACATGAGAGTGGCCCGACCAACCGAACCGTGGGTTTGGTATCGAAGACTTCACCTTCACACGCTGTCCTATACAAAACCTTTCTGACTTTTCGAGTTTTGAGGTGTGTCCTACCCATAACTCCGGTTCTCCACAAAATCCTACAAGAACAGAACCGTCCCATTCATTTTCATGATAGCTTAATCCTTGTACAACGCCAATACTCCCAGCCGACAATGATTTCCGTCCATCAGTATCATCTTTAAGTTTCACCCAATCTCCCACGGCGTACATCTGCTCTACCTCAAAATCTGTAGGATCTCCTCTCCACCATCCGGCCAAGCCAAACAGTGAAACTCTTATTTCTCCATTAGCATTTACAGCAGTCACAACACCCCTTGAATTCGGATTAGCGCCTCTCCACCCCCATCTCGGCTTAGCCAACCCAGCACGGAAATGCACATACTGGCCAATTTTTATCGGAGAAACTTTTTCGACTTCTGTGTAGTGTATAAACGATTTCCCCTCACGAAAACAACACGCCAATTCTAAATGACAATAATCTTGTATACTGTAAACTACCGCTATATTTTCCTTCCCAGTATAGTTGGATTCATAATTTGATTTTGTTCCTAAACACTGCTTCATTCTGACCCAATCACCCACTTCCAATCCTGATAGTTTTTCTGCATCGCCCGGAGCGATTCTCCATAATTTTTTCTTTCCAAATACTCTCACCTAAAAATAAGATATAATAAACGTGACTTTAAAAAACATTTGAAGGTTTAATAGTTGTCTCCCAAGAAATATGAGAACTTACATTTAGAGTACCATCCATATCAACTCTTTCCAGTTTTCCTGAAGAGGCTGGGGTTTCATCTGACCACCCAAGTAATGGCTGAGTAACAGACGGCAGGATGTGTACCTCTTGTCCCACTTCAAAAGGTGGCACTTTCTCGATGTCTGTAACGGAGCAAGGAAAAGTTTTACTCCTGAAGCAAAATGCTACATCTACATCTCCATCCTCTTCTAAGGCAAAAATTATTCCAATGCTGCTTCGAGGAACATCATCCCACCCGTATTTTGGAGAGGGCACCGATGCTTTCACCCTAACCCAATCACCGACCTGTTCGTGCACAAGCCAAAAGAAAATCGGTAATGCACGTGCTTGATACGAGTGCCAGTAGTTACATGACGACTTTCCCAAAAGAAAAAATACCTTATATTTGTCCACCTTCTCCATGTCAGATGGATCTACTTTCCATGGTCCATGCCGATTTGGTAAATCAATTAATAAGAGACCATTACTTTCAATATCACCGACTTTTCCAACGCTGTTATGTGTCTCGCCATCCCAAGGGAACCTAGGTTCAGATATAGAGCGTTTAACGCATACTTGGTCTCCAATCTAGAAGGAAGTGAACACATCAAGTTAACTAAGGATAAAACAAATGAGGCTCAGTTTAAATTTAAACCATACTAAAAATAGGGAGAATGAAGCATTCACCTTGAAGGGGACAACAGGTTCAATCTCCTCTGGTTCACAAAGCCAAGGGCTAGGCAAATAGCAGAATTCTATCAGCAAACTACTGTCTGGCCTGATACCATACACAACACCAATACTCCCTGGAGATACAGCTTCAAAGCCATGTCTCGCAGCAGGCACAGTATAACGTACACGGATCCAATCACCAACTTTGAATTCTTGAAGTCTTTGAAAATCTGCAGGGTCAGCTTGCCATCCTCTTGATGCACCAGTAAATCCAATTCGTATAATTCCTTCTTCATCATCGATGCACAAGACAGTTCCAATGCTGTCACGTGATTGTCCAAGCAACTTAAACCTGATAAGAATGACGTTTGCACTCGATGAAACCTTTTTTTTTTTTTTTTTTGGGGCAAGCAAAGTTTCCTTGATAAAAAAAACATATGCATAGCACAACGCAGTCAAACGAAACGAATTCACAAAAGCTTCTCCAATTGGTGTAATCACAACTTGTTTAATATTTCAAGGCTCCAAACAAATTTGAAACAAAATATTAAAAGGCTTCATGTATATTTCCCCCTAGAAGTGCACATGTATTCCTCCTAACAAAATGGAGAGGTTGTAATGTAATGTGGAAGGGGAAAAAAATTCTTTTTATGTTCCACCAGACGAAATGCGCCATTATCTGTTCTGTGATCGAAGTGGACATCCTGGCAACGCAGTGCCCTTACCATTATCGACGTTAATTTCAAAAGAAGAATAATAAAAAAAAAAAAAAAAAGTCCATGCATAACATCTAACCTTGGCTCTCTCACGTCAGGTTTAAGTTGCACCAGCTGTCCCCTATCCATAGGAATAACTTTGATAATCTCATCTGCCAAAACATGTGCAACACCAGAGCAAAATGATACAGAAAGACCACCACTACTTTGGGAACCCTGCACAAATCCAACACTCCTGGGCCCTGCACCTTGCCAACCATATGCAGGATTTGCCACACATCTTTTGAATTTCACCCAATCGCCCACTTGAAATCTAGAAGGGGGCAATCCAAAGTTTGTCAGTTAGTGAACTCAATGACAGCAGAAATTTTGCACTGTGAAGATCAGTATAGCGGAACTTTACTCACATTGTTGGGGACAAACGAATACCCTTCTCTGCTAGTGCATCCATAAGCTCTTCAAAAATCCATTCCCGAGGTAGGGCTTCCAACAAGTCACAAAATGTCTTGCCACTATTTTGCAACCATTAAGAGGGTCATTGACATATTAAATTAATACAACCTAGGGTGAGTTATCACAAGTACATCAATTGTATAACACGTGCTAGATGAGAAAATTAAAATTAAAATGTAAATGAAGATACTTAACTAGAAGAAAAAAGAAGCGGCTCTTAAAATTTTTCTCAGAAAATATTATATTGAACACTTATATAATCACAGCACTTGCCTGTGAGTTCTTACGCCAATAGCAGCACCTGGATATTTTAATATCAATAAAATGCAATCAAGACATTCGCGTATGAACTTTGCTGCATCTGCTGCTATATGGAAGGCATTGTCACCATCGTCGTCCTGATTACAATCACCCAAAAAAAGTTTTTATTGGTTGGCTGGAAGCATGTCCACCAAAAAACTTCAAGATGGAAATACATAAAAAAAAATTAGAAGTATTTATATGGGAAAAAGGGGACCATCCGTCAACTATATGAAAGGCACTGTCCAGAAGTTATCTTCAAGATTATGAAAGGATGTTGTCAAATCTGTGGCCCACAACTATATGAAAGGATGTTGTCCGGAAGTTATCTTCTAGTAGTGCTCCATCCGTTATATTTGAGATAAACTGTCTCACAACCTCCTTGTTACCACACCTAAGCATGGATCCATCCACACAAAAAGATTCGACGTGACAGCTACATTCACTTATTTCTTCAATGCACCACAAATTCCATACTGATTAACATGAAAATATTTACTTGTTCCTTGTTTTCATCTCTTGCTGCCTCATTGCAAATCAGTTTCTACTTTCAGGACCTTTTGAAAAGGTTACTGTTTCTCTCCTAGCCGTTGGCTACAGAGCATTTCTACAGTTCTCCTCAAATACAACAAAACCATTTGAAACATTGTTCCAAGTTCTATTCAATCGCATTAAATAGCATTTAGTAACTCATAGAGAAGGCCAACCTGTAAATTACAGTTTGCTCCAGCAGACAAGAGTAATTGAACACATGGTTTTGCACCTCTTGCCAGTGCCAAATGAAGAGGTATTGTGTTGTGCATGTTTCTGATATTTACATCCACTCCAGCATCAAGAATAATCTTTAAAAAAAACAACGGATAACATTAGAAATTTTGAGCTACCAAGTTTTGTTAGTACCTGCAACCATGAAATAAATCCAGGCATGTAAAAGAATAAAATTGTAATATCACCTTCACCAACTCAATATCATTAGCCATGGCAGCTGTATGCAGAACTGTTCGACATTGTTGGGGTTCTTGGGCTGCTGGGTCTGCCTTAGCCTCGAGCAGAACTTTGACAAGTTCTCTTCCCTCTACAGTGAATAACAGACAAGGCAGATAACAACAAAATTAGATAAAACAATTGACTTGATACTAATGTTCATACCCAAATTAGGCATTTCCAAAAGGAAATTAACATTGGCAATGTGTCGTCCCTCTTAGTCTTGGTGTATAAAGAGCATACAGCGCAGGAAAAGGTTTATTTTCAATGAAGATTAAGCAATAGACTAACACATATTGCACTCTAATATGTGCTACAACTAATCAACACGCACATTAGTCATTAGTCCAAGAGCAAACTAAGCACTCAATTGCCTACCCCAATTCCCTCCATGGATACTCCAGAGTCATGGGGATTATTAGTTTTTTTAAACTTTTCACGAGTATCATCCTCTGTGAAACCATTCAGAATGGAAGAGTGTTGCCAGAAAATGAAGTTGTTGTGAGTTATTACAGAAAAAAGAAAGAAATATTTTCAAACAAGGACAAGAATAGATGTCATGTGAATAGGTTGAAGATACTTGTTTGTGACATTATCATATAAGAAACTTTTGGCCGTATCCATAGTATTTTTAATTGGTGGGATGAAACATCGGTGTCAGAACCACTTCTAGTGCTATACCTCCTATATTAGGAAATCATATAAAGAAAGGGCTGAAAGAGAACACGGTTAGGGAAATCCCTGATGAACAGTTTACCTATCTCACGGTCTTTCTTAAGAGCAGCTGCCATGCATAAAGCGGTTCCAGCGGAACTTGGTATATCAATAGCTTCAGAAATTTCCTCAGGCAATGCAAGTTCAGCCCATCTCTTAACAACATCTACGTTTAAGGTTGTGATGCACAAATGCAGAGGCCTGTTGATCAGAACAAGAGAAAACGTTAGATAAGAACACACTTGCTATTAGCATGGAGCGACAATACTACAGCTAATGGGACAAGCCACTGCATATTGATCACAGATCCTGAGAAGAGGTCAGTAGCACAAGAAAGAGTGTAAGAATCAGAATCTTTGCATTGTTCATTAAATTGTTTTCAAAGGAGGTGGGTAAGAAATAACAAATATTTCATCAGATGAATCCTTATAAAAAGTGAAGAGTGATGCTGAAAGATACATGCTTCCGGATGCAGTTTTGTTGAAGGGCACACAATTAAAGTTCCAAATCATGGAAGCTAAAATAATCCTTCAAAGCTACTTCAGTTTTTACAATTAAAAAAATAAATTAATAAGTTGAGTGGATTGAAGTATTTCCTTCAAGAGCAGAACTAAGAAGGAAGGAGGGGGTTGTCCCCTTAATTTGTTGTGGATGCAAAATATGTATGTATATAGTTGTGATTTATTAGTTTTCCTCCTAAATTGTGTCCCTCAAATCTTTGCAACTGAAAACTTGCACATTAAAGTTCGAAGGAAAGCAACAAACAACCAAATTGAGCATAGCTCAGCTGGTAATACACATACACTTGACCAAGAGATTAAAGGTTCAGAAAAGGTAAAACATTTGTCAACTTTCATGATTCGCATAATAAATAATAAACAAAAACACAGTTCCAATCTTACGTTAAGTTTGCGGAATTGAGAAACCCCATTGATTTGCAACCTCCATGCTCCATAATGACCATAGCACAATGAGTAAATTTCTTTGAAATGGCCACATGCAGTACAGATTCACCATTATCATCAACTGCATTGGGATCAGCCCCTGCCTGAAGTAGTTCCTGTATTCACCAGAATAGCCTGACAATACGTTAGCATATATCCAAAAAAAGAAACTTGCCTAAAGGGTGGATGTGCAACAACTTACACGCATACAATCAGGCTGCCCATAATATGCACAAACATGAGCAACGGACCGACCAAAGCCTTCCATCAACCTAAACATACCATTAGCAGATTTCCAGATAAGTGCACGCACACATTCAGCAGATCCAACAGCTAAAGCAAACACTATTGGTGGATTCCCGTTTTCATCAGGAGAATCTATATCTGCATCGCTATACTCCAAGATTGCATCAACCAGTTCCGGAGAACCCCGTCTGCATGCCAAGTGTAAAGCAGTTTGACCTTCAGAATTATGAGCTTCCAGCAGAGAGATGACGGAGCTGCTATTGTTCCCTGATGCAGACTTCGAAAGAAGATCTCTGCAGATGTGGGTTAAATGAATCGGAAATTTCAACAATCGAAAAGATTTAAGAGAATGAGAGAACCTATATGAAAAAAGAGCCTAACCTGACACCATTAACATCCCCTTCAGATACAAGTTGATGAAGATGGTTGCTTTTGACCTGAAGAATGTCCAAGACAGAGGTAGGGGATTGTTCCAACCTATCAATATGAGGAGAACTTGCCACCTTGCTGAGTTCCACAAAAGCGAATGCATCAAATGTATTAACTTTTTTTTTGTTAGATAAGAAACTACAATAAAATAATAATAATAACTAAACATACAACAGTGAGGACTAGAAAAGCCCTGGCCCTAGCTAAGCAAGATACAGAAGACTTTCCAATCAGCCTAAATCAAAACTAGGCTCTCAGCTGTACTTCAACAAAAAAAACTATAAGCTTATACCAAGTAACAGCTACAAAAACTATCTGATAATGCAAAAAAGAGAAGGATGTCTCCTCATCCCAAAAAGCTCTTTTGTTTCTTCCCTTCCAAATTCAAAGAAATGTGCTTATGAGTACCATCACCATCAATACCACCGTAAATTTGAGAACAAACAGGGGTCTCCGAAGATAAATGCAGTAAAAGCCCTCATATGAAATATTTGGATTGAAAAACCACCCGAGTATTTAATGTCAAAAAAAAAAAAATTGTTAAAACGTAGCTAACCATGTGAAATTGATGGCTCTCTTACTAATTCTTTTTGTAATCACTCTATTATCGAGATGAACTCTACGTGGGCTTCTTTTTCTTTCTTTTCTTTTCTTTTCCTTTCTTCGTTTTTTTTTTTTTTTTTTTTTTTTTTTTTTTTTTTTTTTTTTTTTTTTTTTTTTTTTTTTTTCTTCTTTGGTGAAGCCCCAGTATAATTTCCTTTTTTTTTTTTAAATGTATTGATGTAGAGAGTGATTCAACACAGGAGGGGATATAGAATTACAAGTAGGACTTTCAACTAATAAAAAACAATAGGAAGGAAAATAAAATTTACTGTGATTATATGATCAAATAATTCTGTATTACAAAAGAAGAAGAAAAAAAAAAGTGCAGTGATGAATCGAGGAAACTCACGCAGTAGGTCTAGTAGGGGATCGGTGAATCCCTTGTAGATGTCTAAGAAATATGGCAAGCATTGCATGGAAAGTTGGTCTTTTCAGTGGCTTGTACTGTAGGCACTCGCCAATCATCTTCCATAATTCTCCAGGAATGCCAACTCCTACAATACTTGCATACTGTGGAGGTAGCCTGCCATCTTTGACAACAGCACGGTAAATTTCTTCTGCACTCAGACTAGCCCACCTGAAGAACTCATCTTCTATTAGCTAAGAATATAACTGACCATAAAATATGGAAAAAGTTAAACTAAAAAGCAACATACGGGGTGGAACCAGTGCACATTTCAACAAGGGCACAGCCAAAGCTCCACACATCAGATTGCGTGGATATGCCAATACCATCATCCCTAAACAAATGCAATGGTCTCTTCAAAGGCTCCCATGCCTCTGGCGATCTATAGTGCGGACTCAAAAACAGGCACTCCAAACACCAATGCTGTTTTGATGACTCGTGTTCTGGTGGGAAAATGCCTGCTCTATGACAAGGTTTTTTCAAAATCAATGGAAGCCCATAATCGGAAACCACAGCATGTCCATTTGCATCCAAGAGAAAATTGGATGGTTTCAAATTCATACACAACACATCAGCTGCATGCAGTTCAACTACTGCTCGTGCAATGTCTGCTCCAAATCTGAATTCATAAATACATATTACAAACAGGTAGAAAAGCAACAAGAAGCAAAGAGTTTCTAGAATAATCACAACTACAGAAGTTGTATAAAAAAGATTCGTGCAGATTTGTGCTTCTAAGGAATATAGAACTGCCTGATCCCTCATGCGGAAATCCAGAACAACGGAGTGAGCACCAAATTCACGAGTTCAGAGGGATAGCAGTTGCGACAGCACAAAACTCTAGGTGAATCTGGACATTAAACCCACGCTTTCCCGAGGAAATTATGAAGTAGAGGTCCATAAGTAAAAATGTCCAACAAAATGAAAACAAGCTCAAACGCAATACAAGACGGAGAGAAGGGTCACCTGAGGATTTGCTCGAGAGTAAGGCGGCCGCCACTCCGCTGCATCTCCGACTGAACCGACCCAGGGAACCCCTCCATAACAATGCAAAGATAACCCTCCACCTTTAGCACTCCGAGAAAGGAACACACATTCCTGCACCACATCGACGCACGCCTCAGCTTCTCCAGCTGCTTCTCCACCCAATCCAAATCCCCAACATTACCTATTCTCACCCGTCTCACCATCACTCTGTGCCGACACCCACCGACTCTAGACCTCAACCAACCGGACCAAAGCTCCATCTCCTCCCTCTTACCTCCATCGATCTTCCTCACCAACTTCAATTCATGGTCCCCAAACCCCGCTCCGCACCCATGGCAGCCGGAACTCCTCCGCCCCCGGTCAGACCCGTCGCCCCCTTCCTCATCGGCTCCAGCATCATCGTCGTCGTCGTCGCTATCGCTAACCTCAGCAGAGTGAGAAACCGAGGCCGGAGAGATCATAGGTAGTATAGCGAAATTCTTTGGAAGAGAGAGCACAGAATTGCCGACGGTAGACACATGGCGGCACTTCGGACACGTGAGAGATGGTTTAGGTGGAGTTGGAGCAATAATTTGAGAGAGGCAGTGTTTGCAGAAGGTGTGGCCGCATTGGAGAAGAAGAGGAGCTCGAGAATCCTCGTCGTATTGAATTCGGCAGATTGAACAGCTAGGGATTCCGACTCGCTTCCATTTCTTGGGCATTTTTTTGGATTCTGCTCTCTGTGGTTTGCTTCTGGTGAGAGAAATGAGAATCTAAGAGGAAAGTTTGAAGGGAAAGCCGTAGCAGAAGATGGACTATGACATTATATAAGATTATTGTATTTATTTATCTTATTTGTTTATTTATTTACTATAGCCTTTCTCTTCCTGCGTTTCAAACTGACCGTTTGACTTTGGCCTACCTTCCGCGATACGTGTATGCCACGTAATCATGACTCTTTATCGACTTCGTCTGATTTTTATGGGATACACCTAATTTCATGTCACTTATATTCAATAATTCCCTTAATTTTTTTTATGCTTAAATTATAAGTTATTCCAACTTTTAGTTTTATGGCAATTAGTTTCAATTTTTTTAGAAGATTTTGACACATTTACATTTTTTAAGTAAAATTTATGTTAGTCCTATAATTTTAAATTTTAGTTTAATTGATTTTAATTTTTTTTTTTTAAATATATAGAATAAGTCAAATACTCATCTTTTAACCATTTGTGATTAAAAAAAAAATCGTGAGATGGTAAATGTAAGTAGCTAATCATAGTACGAGAGCATAAAAAAAATATCAACTATAAACGGTAAAGAAACATCCAAGCATGATTGGTCAGATATTACCATATACAATAAAGGACTCCATTTTAGATTACGGAATTGATGATATATTGTCGTTATACATATCATATACCATCAAACGTGATTGGTTATGCATTTAAGACATTGTCGTATATGATTAAAGATTATGTTTCGTGTCATGGAGTAGATGACGTATTGCCATGATAATTGCGATCTCGATGATCCGTAAAAACAATAAATATATGAAACGTAGGAACTGATATATTAAATCTTGATTATTATTGATGAGTGTATCAACCTGTTTTATGTTATAAACTAATCTGGTACAAATTACCATATAATTGCATAAATGAAATGCCTGTATAAATATATATAATATATATGAAAGTTTTATTTTTATTTTTATTTTGGTATGTTGTTATTTTGTTTCATTTGAACTTCAAAAGTAAATACGTGTTGGTTTTTTTTAATTTAATTTAAAGTAGGAAACAAACATTTTTTATTTCAATTTATAGTATGCATTAGTGTCGTATTAAATAAAGCATTTAAAAAGCCTTATTAAGGGGAAAAAAGCTGAATAATAAGGAAATCAATATTGTTAAAAAAAAAATGATGTAAAAAGAACTGCCCGGCCGGAGCGGAATTGCATCCGTGGGAGTCAGCTACGGCGGCGATAAAGCATCCGTGAACTTAGACTCGGCGGAAATTAGAAGTGTAAATGCAGTGAAAAATTAATTGGGCCTTTTGCACTTTGATGGGCTTTCAATTGGGCCTTCTTCACATACAAATTTGGGTTAGCTCCAATTGGGCCCTAAAAAAGAAAAAAGAAAAAGGAAAAGAAAAGGATATTACCATATTTCGGATCTAAAAGATATTCTAGAAAAAGGAATTCCAAAAAAAGAAAGAAAGAAAAAAAAAAGAAAAAACAATAAAGAAATGGAAGAAAAATATTAAAGGAAAAAAACAGTTAAAATGAAGCGCGAAAGGCTGAGAACCTTAGAACTGGGGAGGGATTAAGGAAGACCGTGTCTATGGCTTCCTCCTACAATTCCTCTCTATCAATCCTCAGCGTTAGGATCAGAATTCCAAGCTGTCTTCTCCTCAATTTCCACCATTTTTCTTCCTTCTTTTTCTCTTTCTTTCCCGTTCTCTATACATGGATTTTTCTCCCTTGCTCACTTTTGGTTCTCCCCCAAATACCCATTCGATCCTGTCTTCTTCAAGTGCCCTACCCTTACCGCCGCCGCCATCCTCCCTCCCCATTCCTCCGCTATGGGCAATTGTTGCTCTCGTGAAAATCCCGACGAGCCTCCCACCAGCGTGAAGGATGGATCTAACGCGGACAAGTCCAAGGATGATGGCGGAAATTCTAATCAGGGCAACTCCACCGAGAATCCATCGAATAAAGCCGCTTCTTCGGCCTCGCCGGCGGATGCCGCTAAGAATACAAAGCCCTCTCAGATCGGAACTGTTTTAGGGCGGCCGATGGAAGATGTTCGATCCATTTATTCCATTGGTAAGGAGCTGGGAAGGGGTCAATTCGGGGTAACCCATTTATGTACGCACAAGACTACTGGCGAACAGTTGGCGTGCAAAACCATTGCTAAGAGGAAGCTCGTAAATAAGGAGGATATTGAGGATGTTAGAAGGGAGGTCCAGATTATGCACCATTTAACTGGTCAGCCCAACACTGTTGAGCTTAAAGGAGCTTTTGAAGATAAGCATTCTGTTCATTTAGTCATGGAGTTGTGCGCTGGAGGAGAGTTGTTTGATCGCATCATAGCGAAAGGGCATTACACAGAGCGAGCTGCGGCTTCGTTGCTCAGGACTATTGTGCAGATTGTTCATACTTGTCATTCCATGGGGGTTATTCATAGAGATCTCAAGCCTGAAAACTTCCTTTTGCTGAATAAGGAAGAGGATTCTCCGCTCAAAGCTACCGATTTCGGTTTATCCGTATTCTATAAGCAAGGTTTGCTCCATAACCTGACTGTTTCTGTTATAAATCTCGGCTGATTATGTTGTTCTTATTCTGGTATGATTGTTGCTATTATATAGGAGAGGTATTTAAGGATATTGTTGGTAGTGCATATTATATTGCACCAGAAGTCTTGAAACGGAAATATGGACCTGAAGTTGATATTTGGAGCGTTGGAGTCATGCTCTACATTTTACTGTGTGGAGTTCCACCTTTCTGGGCAGGTAGTTTATTAGTTTTATGAATCTCTCTGCTGGGTTTGATCTTTTTGATAAGAGAAAATTGAATGGCAGAATCTGAACATGGGATATTCAACGCAATCTTGCGTGGCCATGTCGATTTTACTAGCGATCCATGGCCTACAATATCACCTGCAGCAAAGGATCTTGTAAGGAAGATGTTGAATTCAGACCCCAAGCAGAGATTGACAGCCTCCCAAGTTCTAAGTAAGTTCATCCCCGCATGAAGTTGTATGATAGAATGGTTGAATCTATGAAGGAAAATTAGGAAGAGAAAAGGCAGGTTTATGAATTATGACCATCATTTCCTTCTCTATCAGGCCATCCATGGATTAAGGAGGATGGAGAAGCACCTGATACACCACTTGACAATGCTGTGCTCAATAGGCTCAAACAGTTCCGTGCAATGAACAAATTCAAGAAAGTCGCCCTTCGGGTAAGTGATAATGAACAACAAAGCATTTTGGAATTATATATAATGTGCCAAATGGGCAGGTGATTGCGGGCTGTCTATCAGAGGAAGAAATCATGGGGCTCAAACAGATGTTCAAGGGCATGGATACTGACAACAGCGGGACAATAACGCTCGAAGAGCTAAAGCAAGGACTCGCAAAGCAAGGCACAAAACTCTCTGAATATGAAGTTAAACAATTAATGGAAGCCGTAAGTCATTGCTTAATCCCTATGAATCCGTAATGAGTTTTCTTGCTTGAAGAATCTGGATATTACCTTTTGGTTTCTACAGGCTGATGCTGATGGCAATGGAACCATAGACTATGACGAGTTCATTACAGCGACAATGCACCTGAACAGAATGGATAGGGAAGAGCATCTTTACACTGCCTTCCAGTATTTCGACAAAGATAACAGCGGGTAAACGGAATCGCATTCAAGTCGATTATAGCTAAAGTTTTCATTTTGAAATGGATAGGGAGTGTCACTAATGATTGAACCTCAAACTTCGTTATGCATTCAGATACATCACTACGGAAGAGTTAGAACAAGCTCTTAGAGAATACGGCATGCACGATGGAAGGGACATTAAGGAGATACTTTCTGAAGTGGATGCAGACAATGTAAGTTACTAAAAATCCACATCCTCATACTGCTGCAGGTGGAGAGAGACCAGAAACTGACCTGTGTTTTGAATTTGTACAGGATGGTCGCATCAACTATGATGAATTTGTGGCGATGATGCGAAAAGGAAATCCAGAAGCGAATCCCAAAAAGCGTCGTGATGTTTTCGTTTGAGATCGTCGTCGGGGCGAGGAGAAGACCTGAATGTTTAGTTCTTCTGTAGAGAAATTATTATGAGGGTGAAGCTCACGGATGCTCATTGTACAATACTCATCATATGAAGAGAATGGGAAAGGGTTTAATGCATATATTTACAATGTGAATGTGAATGGTGGTTCCTTTCAAAGACAGGAAATTGCCTTATGAACGGAAAGGAAGGGAAAGGAAAGTAAAGGAAAGGAAAGGAAAGGAAAGGCAAGGTCATTCTTACATCTAATTCTTAGGATTTAATGGGTGATTTATGATGTTTTTAGTTGTTCTTGGCCACCATTAGACAGAATAATTATTGCTCTTATGGTTGACTCATGGACTACAAACTTGAATTTGTTCAAAACGTCTAGTTTTATTCATAGAACAAAGAAAGCTGATAGTTTTGAACACACATTATTTGCAATTATAACTATGAGGTTTCTAAAGATTGTTCAGTTGAAGTCCTTTCAACAATGGGGTCTACGTGCAAACTTTGGTGGAAGTATTGGATAATTGTATTGTGTTTTATATGAAATTTTTATACATGGTAATATTCTAATGATTGTTATTAATTCATCAGTGTTGAGTATTTTTACACTAAAAGATCTACTAACCTTTCTTTTCAAATGCTCCACTATGATTATTATCCACTCTAACTAGAAAATTAAGGAAATCTTAGATATTATTCACTCTCAACAAAAAATTAAGAAAATTAAAGAATTTTTTCTCACACCATCCACCAGACAAAAAAATTAAGTAAACCTTTCTTACCTAACCCTCTTCAATATAAAATATTGATCTTGAAAAACAAATTATGATACACGATGCTGTGCAAGGGCTTGTCAGATGGCACGGCACAATAGAAGGTCCGAGCCTAAGAGAGCAAATACACTGCTAAAACAAACAAAGATAGCAACCATCGCTCACTCGTGACCAACAATTTACGTATCTTTCGTGGAAACACCGTACTTCTGTTGCATCCTGGCGATTTCATCCTCTTTCTTCTTCTTGGTCGAACTTTTTGCTCATCTTGGCCTGTTGGTAGTACAACACGATCAGATACCGATTCGCAACGTTGAAACCGGAGAGGTGATCCACCGCCGTCTTAGCATCATAGATATCTTCGTAAACAACAAAGGCGGTACCTCTCGTATCCTTGTTCTTCCCAATCCGAATCTGCCGGATCGCCCCGTACTTGCCGAAGATATCATACATCTCTTCGCTGGTGGCAAATTTCGCACATACAAGACTCTGTTGACCTCCGGCGGCAGCCTCGTGTTTCCCTTGCGGGGAAGGCTGAATGTCGCCATGGACTATGGAGGAAGAAGGTTCCTTAAGAGCCTGTTTGGGAGAAGAGAGTGCGAGAAATTTCAGAGATAGGGATGTCTTGGGCCTTTGTAGCCCTTGTTGATAGCTTGATCATCTCATGCATATGCACCTCTGAAAGTGGGCACAGGCCCAATTATCAAAGGACTTGAGTCCATCTACAAGAGCCTCTTCGAAAATGGCCCATCATTTTGTATGGCCATGGATGTCCAAAATAAGTGGGCCGGGTCCAACTTGGCCCAACTAGCCTGTTACCTTCTTCGTGGTAAAATAAATTACTAAAATTACCGTTTATTCTTTTAAAATATAATCCATCAAATCATTTTTTATAAATATAGTTGATCATATTTTTATAGATAAAATATAAAATTTAAAGGTATTTCTTTTATTAAATTATCCTACTTTTTTTTCCCTCCATTTACCCTTACTTAAACTTCAAAATCTCTATATTTTTACGGTTTGAAATATTCTCTAAACCTCGAAATGTCTTTTCACGTACGATTTTTACTATAAATGGATAACATCTTTTTTTTTTTTTTTTTTTGGCCTAAATAAAGAAGAGAACGATTTTAATAAATAATGGAAAAACACAATTAAAAAAAAAAAAATTCTTAGATAAAGGAATTGGTTTTAGTCCAATTTGGAAGTCCCTATTTTTGAAGTTTAAGGAGAAGGAAACTCTTTATTTGAAGATTTCTTGCATTTATTTTCTATTCGGTGCTACAGTTCTCCCACCCCCATCCTCCCCTCTTCAGGCCGTATGGATTCTCGTACGGAGGTAATGCGATAATATGTTCTTCCATTCATTTAGTTCAGATAATCACATCAGTTTCTTTCGATTTCCATCCTTTGTTTTGAAAAAACGAATTCATCGTTGTTTAGATTATGGTTTTCGTTGAATCTTGTTGAATCTTGGCCTTTCTTGTTTCGAAAATTTATTGTCTTAATTTAAGAGAATCGTTGCATTTCATTCTCGATTCCTGAGCAAAAGATCACCGTAATGGATACAAAACAATCAAGATCGCTAAAAATCGTGAGATGTGGAAGAGAAATATGATGAATCTATTTGAATATGAAACTGAAAGTTTGGTTGGTGTGTCTGTGTGTGTGTTTATACAGAATAGGTGGAAATCCGTTCCAGAATTTGGGGGGTGGGATAATAATACGCCTGATGCAAGCAATTATTCCGTTGTATTTTCTCGAGCTCGTGCCAATAAGAAACAGCAAAAGACCGATTTGACTGAGTTCAAAAGAGCCAGCCTAGGGAATGAAAAGGAGTTAATGGCCATCGCGGATAAACATGATCGCCACCACCAGCATCACCACCGTCGCGAACACCGACATCAACATCACCACCACCGCCACCACCCGCATCATGGTCAATTACCAGCGGATGGCGCTGTTGTCGGGGTAAGCACTTCTAATCGCTGAGTTATGTTCACTTTGATCTGTTCTTTTCCCACTTTAACCTCAAAATCCGATTGACCTAATTTGAACAAGAATTTAGTGTAGTTTTTGTTTGTGTAATCCAGCAGAAGAAAAAGAAGATTCTGTCCTGCATGAGTTGTTGTATCAAGCCTTGATATGAGATAAAGAAGGCAATCAACTTCGCTATGTTTTAGTGATATCATGCTGTTTTTCTGGATCTTCTTTGGCATGTGTAAATGTAGCGAGACATGTTCATCGTATGGAAAATAAATGCGTCAATTTCCCCTCCCTGAGTCTTTTTGTATAGGTTCTTTAGCTTATAAAACATGGAACCTTGTAATATATTCATTTCTTCATGGAGAAAACCAGATGAATACACTATGCAATAACATTATATTTTGTTCTTTTCGAAGTTGCTTTGGATCTACAGGGTGGACACAGCCCTTGCAATCTCTGATATTCTGTACATGTCAACTTTCCACCATTTGTTCAACCAGTTTCCACAGTCTATTTCTATGATAATTGAAGCTTTTTTAAGTTATAACATTTCTTTGTGTAATGTAGGCTAGTCTATGTCTATGCAACACGAACACCGACACAAACTCAACACACACAACACGGGCACGATGACGAACTCGAACTCAACACATGTAACACGGGCACGAACACGAACTCAACACACGTAACACGGATACAAACGACATGGGGCGCGGACAGTGAAGAATCTGGAGGGTGGCTGCAACCATGGGACGCGGACCATAAATGGGCTTCGATTAAATGGGTCGGTTCTGGGTTCATTATGAAAAACCCATAAAAGTAGAAATAAAAAAGTACGAAGAACCCAAAAAAAATCCATCCCGCCCTCTCTCTCTTCTCCTTCTCCTCGCCTCACGTATACAGCCGCCAGTCCTCCTCCATCTTCGGCGATCCTCCAGCGACAGACCCACGCTACTCTCTGGCGCCAACAGTGAACAGCGCAGCTCCGACCAGCAATCGCCGCTTCACCTACACGATCGACGACTGTTTGCTCCTCTTCACCCTCGCAGACGGCGACCCACTGCGCACGACGGTGCAACATCCTCCAGCACCGACAGCACGAGCTGCTCCACATTTGGAATTCTTCGGAGGACTAATCGTACTTAGATTTGAAGGCGAAGTTGGGTAAGAACTAGTTGGTAACACTACTGATTATCTTGTGTTAAATTAAGTTTCAGGATTTGTTTTATTGAAGTCGTTAATTTATGGAGATTTTTAGAAAAATATAGGATTTTCGAATCTCATTAGGAAACGTCTCTAGGTAGTTGAAGCTGAGTCGTTACATGGTTTCACTGCACCTGCTCTCCATTGTTCTGTGAGCTATCCTTGAATGTGGATACAAGTTCTTTAGGAGTAGGTTCCGATGGAGTCACTGTTAGAATTGGAAGGAATGCCGGCGGAGTATGAAGAAGAGAATTCGTCGTCTTACAGCCGCAAATTGGTGCCCTGGTCAACTTGGAGCGAATGGCTTTTCGTTAGTCACTCACTCTTCTCCGACTCTGTAGACTCCGTTGCCGCCGCTCTGAGCAGAGTAAGCGTACCTATCTCCGCCGCATGTTTATTCTCCACTATGCTAATTTTCGAAGTTACATTTAAACCTGCAATTTTAAATTCTATTATGCTGTTGATCTCCTAATTAAGACTATATAAAGGTTTGTCTATCACTATTAGTAGTGAGATCCCCATTTTGTGTTTGCCTAGAAGCAATAGGAGAAATTTTATAAATGAGATAGACTTTGTCGTGTGAGAGTGAGATTGAGATTAACACACTTGTAAACACTCTGGTTATAGTGATTGAAATCCTCGATCCATGCCATGATTTAGTATCGGCTTTGCTATTTGAAATAATTTTCTCCACTGAAAGAATAATCCAAATGGATTCTTGTAAATATAATTTTTTAAAAAATAAGTAGCTCACACTAAGAAATTTATCTTCTACAATTGATGGTGAGTGTGAGCACAACTCGTGGTTGATGAGTTAAGTCTTTCACAATGCCACAACTAAAAGGCTGTGATACCAATTGTTGTATATGAAGTAAGATCAATTGCAGTCACACACCTACCAATAGAAATAAACAAAGAGACTCAAAGATTTAGGTGGTTCGGGGAGGAGAAATTCTCTTATGTCCACAGGTGACAGTCAATCACTATAATCAAAGTTTATGAGTGTATCTCTCATATTCTCACACTACAAAGTCTCTCTAGTCTCGCTTATTGGATTACTTTTTGTGATTTTGAATTCAGATATCAACATGGAGAAGCAGAGGATGTCTTCCAGTTGTGGTTGAAGTTACAGCATCAATTATCGAAATCCAACAAAAAGATCCCTACTTCATGTATGCTTCGATTCCCACTTCTTGCCTACTTATTTCATGCTATTATTCACTGTACCATATCGTTTCCAGCTCGAGCTATCTTCTCTAGTTCTTTAATGTCATGTTCTCAACTTTCAAACCATGTTACAAAAGAAATTAACACTACCATGTTTTTAAGAACAATTATTTTTGTAACCAAGATTCTGTGGTGTTTTTTTTTTAATGTTCGTTGTTTTCTTTTATTCATTCATCCAGAAAGAACCTATCGGTGGATGCTTCAGTTCGTGGTACAGAGGAACAATTAAATAACGTTTCACTTTCAGAGGAAGCACTAGCCATGTTATATTGTATGGCCATTATGAGGTAATTTTTTTTTATGGTAAAGTACGATGCAAAACTTTCTTAATTTGTTACAAGGAACTCACTGTACTCTTGATTTCGAAGGCTTGTAAATGGTGTTGTTGAGAAGACACGTAAGAAAACAGAGGTTTCAATTGCTGTGGCAGCTGATGCTATTGGTTTACCTCGTATGCTGATTGATATTCGCCATGGTGAGTAATATCAAACATCATTTTGTACGCTATCATTTTCCTTTTCCAGTTTTATGAACTTTTTTCTTTCTTTGTTTTAATGTTTTAATATTTTCATGTTTCTCTTGGCAATGGTTGTAGAGGGCTCTCATCGCGAACTTCCAGCTCTTCAGGTGGTTTGGTGTGCCTCAACCAAGGTATGACTATGAAGAATGAACCCTCAACGTTCTTCTTGTTTTACCATTTGATGATTTTCAACTCTATTACCGATGTGGGATGTCACAATCCACCCCTTTCGAGGTCCAGCGTCCATACTAACACTCGTTCTCTTCTCCAACCGATGTGGGACCTCCCAATCCACCCCCATTCGGTGGCACACCGCCTCGTGTGCACCCTCTTCGGGGTTCAACCTCCTCGCTATCACATTGCTCTGTGTCTAGCTCTGATACCATTTGCAACAACCCAAGTCCACTGCTAACATATATTGTCCTCTTTAGGTTTTCCCTTTCGAGCTTTCCCTCAAGGATTTTAAAACGTGTTTGTTAAAGAGAAGTTTTCACACCCTTATAAATAATGCTTCGTTCTTCACCCCAACCAATATGGGATCTCACACTTCCCGGTAGAAGTATTTTTAAGTGAAACCTTCTTGATGGTTTGGTGATTCCAGGCGCTTTGTTGGTTGAAATCTTATTATTGGGGACCTCAGGAGAAAGCTATTTCATTTCAAGGTGATATAAGCACTACCATTCGAAAGGAAATCAAATCCAAACTTCGTCATTTGGCTTTCAATTTAAAAGTGAAGCAAAATCCTCAACTTGAATCTGCCCTGATTAAGCCAAAACGTATGCGTTTAATCTCTCCCTTGCGATTTTGTTCGTTCATTGTTATCTTTAAATCTTTAGACTTAGCTGAGTAAATGAAATACTAACAGTACCTTTTCAGGTTTGAAGACAAAGACTGCCGAGACACTGAAGGTTCTTATTCAGTTATATTCCACATTCTCTTCAGAATTTGTATCTGTATTGTTGGGATTCTTGTTTAAGGCAATGACGTCATCAGACTTGGCGTTTCCCAAAAAATCCAAGAAATCCAGCAGCCCTGTATTGGATGGTTGGAAGCTTACGATTGCTAAGATCTCAAATAAGGAGCCAGAATTGCTTTTAGATCTGCTGCAGGCAGTTCTAGAGAAGATCAAGACTCAAGAAGCCTTGGAATATGGTAGGATTAAATATCAACCGTCTAATCCTTTTAGATTTTCTGAGCTTTATGATGAGGCTGTGGCATTTACTTGGCTAGTTACCGCTTTACCATTACCTCTAGGAGTTAGCTTTTGGGCAATTATAGAACCACACTTATGCATGATTTGTCTATTTTCTATGAGATCTTTATAAGGGTGTGGAAATCTCTCCCTAACAGATGCGTTTTAAAACCGTGAGGCTGCCAGCGATACGTAACGGGTAAAAGTGGTGGGCTTGAATTGTTACAAATGGTATCAAAGCTAGACACCGGGCAGTGTGCTAACGAGGACGCTGGGCCTCCAAGGGAGGTGGATTGTGAGATCCCACGTCGATTTGAGAGAGGAATGAAACATTCCTTATAAGGGTGTGGAAACCTTTCCCTGATAGACGCGTTTTAAAAATTGTGAGGCTGATGATGATACATAACGGGCCAAAGCGGACAATATCTGTTAGCGGTGGGCTTGGACTGTTACAAATGGTATTAGAGCTAGACACTGGGTAGTGTGCTAGCGAGGACGCTAGGCTCCCAAGAGGGGTTGGATTGTGAGATCCCACATTGGTTGGAGAGGGGAATGAAACATTCCTTATAAAGGTGTGGAAACCTCTCTCTGGTAGATGCGTTTTAAAAACTATGAGGCTGACGGCGATACGTAACGGGCCTCTCTTCATGCGTCTTCTCTCTCTCTCTGAATGGCTTTCTCTACGTGTGAGCATGGTTTTCTTATTTCCTTTTTCCTGTTCTTTCAGAAAGTCAGTACTCCATGTCCTCAGCCCACAAAATGGATAGCTGTCAAGTAGCACATCTGTCCTCAATGTTTGCATGGCTCGTTGACAAACTTAAGTGCAAAGAAGTTTTCTCTGGAAAACACACTCCGGAAGGTATTCTTATGGAGTTGCTACGTAAATGCCTTGTGGTATCAGCTCCTTGCAACAAGCGGCTTATGGATTCAGCCACTGATCTTGCACACTTATTGGATAACAGTTCTCTTGTGAAGAAACTGAAGAAACTATCATTTCTCAATCAACCGGTTTCACATTTACTGGACGAAGAAAATCCGAACCAAATCACGTCTGAGAACGGTTTCAACCAGGCCGAGTCGCTCCGCGAAGCAAGTCGGAAACTTGAGATCATTAAACTCCACAAAAGAAAGAACAACTTGGCGACAAATCCAGTAAATGGTAACGTTAGAAGTTCCAGCAGATGGACTGTGGTAAGTTCGTGGACTCCATGTCCCATTGGTATGTTGCCTCGTTCGATTGGCTGTTCGGGTCAGCTCCCTGTTCTTGACACCGATTCCGAGAACAAACCAGGTTCGGAAGAGCTGAGAAGCAAAGAGAACTGTGAAGCCACCAACTGTAGCCACAAGAGGGAAGCCAGTTCTGATATTCAGCATCTTGATAGCTGTACTGTCAAGAAAATGAAGGAAACAGATGGTGTTGAGTCAGCTGAAGATGTTAAAGGGCGTTTGTTGATAGATGGGATATGGAAGAAAGTTGGGGAACAAGAATTATCTGCCATTCAGTCTGCGGTTAGGATATTAATTTAAATTCTTTCACAGTTGCTGACATTTTTGCTGTCATCTCTGATGTGAAAGCTTGTAGGATATCTACTTTCATATAGTTATGCCCAGTAAGTTAATTCGAGTTTCATTATTATAATATTATAATTATTTGGGGAAATGGGAGCTTTGTTGGACCAGACGGCCCATTTCGTGGATCTATTTCGGGCCAGCACCAAATTTTAGGCCCAAGCTGGAGTCTAGAGGTGCACCAATTGGGCCAGGCCCAATTTCTTCCTCCATGTCATTTGCTGTTCAACATAATAGTATTTCTATTATTAGGAGGATTTCTTCTATTGGGTTGCGTGTGAAATTGGGTAACCACTAATATAATGTAATGTTTTTTTTTTTAACAAATATAATGTAATGTTTAAAACGTGGGAGAGGAGACATAATATGAAGTGGTCAAAAGGGAGACCACCATATTTAAATCCCCCACTTTATTTTATTTTTATTATACAATTTTAAAATTTTCCTTATATTCGTTTATTTATTTTGCCAACTTTAGTTGTTTTTAATTTTACAATTCTCAGAGAGAAAATTATATTTTAGTTTCCAATTATTTCACATATAAAATTTATAATTAGAATTTAACCTTTTATTTCTAGTTAAAAAGAGGGAAAAAAAGATAGTATATAAATTGAGTAAATGGGCAAAAAAGGAAAAAAAAAATTATGGAATAAAATATTCGATCTAATTTGAATATATTTTAGTTACTAATTTTCATAAAAATTTTGGAATTTAAAAAATTGTGTCGAATGACTTGAAATAAATTAAATTATTATAATGTTAATGTTAAATAATATTAAATATTTTAATTTACACGTGCTTAATTTTGGAAGATTATATGATATATTTTGATTAGATGTTTTTGGAAGAAGAGAGAGATTGAATCTTATAATCAAAATTTCAGCTTTTTTTCTTTCTTTCTATTTTTATAAATGCAAAGCAAAGTCCAAGAATTGAAAATTTGAGCAGACTGTTTGAGGCTAATTTGGTAATTTCAATCCTTTACGTATGTGACATTATTTAATTATATTATGTGACTTGATAAGACATTTGAGCTAATTACAATCCAATTGCACGAATAAAAATACAGTACCAAATCTGCACGTGCAAATAACCAATAATGCACCTAAATAATTATTATTTTATGAATTAAAATATTATTATCTCTAAATTTGAATTTTTTATTTTGAATGGGTGTTCTTTCCATAAAAAAAAACTATTTAGTGAATTCAAACATTCATGTACATACATAAATTTAAAATTTTATAATAAGGTAAAATTTTAAATTAAATTAGTCTAATTTTTAAGTTTGTGCCATATTTAAAATTTAAATAATTATTTTTTTGTAGTACATTTTTTAAAATTTTAACTTATAGCTAATCAATCAGGGCTTAATTATGCTAATTTTGAAATCAATAATTATATATGGAACGGTCTTTTATTAAAAAAAATATATTAAATCCTTAGTTGACTTGGCACACAAATCCAAAAGGCTAACGCGGTGATCTGTTTTAACCTCGTGTGACGTGTCCACATATAATTGGTGTAACAATGGAGATACTGAACGTAGGGGAACAAAGCCCAAACCTGCCAATAATAATATGACGGAATCGGAAATTTTTTCTGGTTAAACGGATTTTGCTCCAACTTGTAAGGAAGAGAGAGAATCCTGGAAAGAGAGCGATGAAGAATGAGAGAGATGGGTTTTAATTATTGAGTTTTTTAAGGTTTATTACTTCGTTTGATTGTATCCACACAATAATACCCTCCAAAAATCTCCCTTCTTCGAGCCTCGAACGCCCATTAAATACTTGCCTTTCTCCTTTCGTCTTGTACACAACCTGTTTGATTATTTGCTTAAGAGAGGGATTGAGGGGGATTGACAGCTCTGTGAGTGGTGGTGAAGGATTTGATGGTCTTTTGATGAGGAAGGCGACTTCGTTTTGAGGTGAGAATAAAGGACCCCAAATTCTTCATCACTTTCATCATCATTATCATCATATCCTCAAATCCATCTCTTTTTACCTCTTCTTCTTTGTTGCCATTAGTTCAAGATCTCAGTGTCCGTCTCGTGTGTAATTTCTACATTTCTTACAGTTCTAAGGTGTTGGGTGCACCCATTTGTGGCTCCTGTTCTAACCCAACAGCCCCGATCTGTTTGTTTGCCCACCTCATTCTTTTGGTTTAAACCTTTTTTAAGAAACCAAATCAGAGATTTTGGAGATATGGGTCATTGCATCTAGACTCTTTAGCTTTATTATCCTTAATTTTCCCCCTCTTGGGGTTCCAGGTGTCAGAAAACCACAATTGATTTGAGACTGCCCCACTTAATCGACAAGCTTCATTCGTGGGTTCATCCAATACAACCTATTTAACTCTCCTCCCCTGATTTTTATTTGAATAACAGCTGGGTTTGGGCATTTTCTACGTTTGAATGCTTTAAAGGAAGAAAGATTGAGAAGCTGAGGAAGCTGTAAGTTAAGCCAAAGTTTCAACACCAGAGTTTGTCTTGTGAGGTGGCTAAAGGCACCTCTAGTTTGCTCTGTTAGAGTTTGGCGAGGAGGCCCACCGTTGGGGTTGGTGGGCTTATTTGATCGAATTAGAACCCTCATCTGAAATGTGCCTCAGGCTCCCATACTAAGCTTACTTTTACCCCTTGTTAACCATCGTATTCTTCCCACAGTTTGTTCTTCCATTGATCTTTTCCACTGTCTTTTATTTGATAAATACCTCTTTTGTGATGCTTCTTTATTTCTTCCTCACATGTATTTCCTTCATTTTCTTTTTAAGGTCCCTCCTTCTCAAACCTCTCCCACCTCTCCCACCATGGGCAGGTGAGATGAGGTTCTTGTCCCATTGGCTATGGAAAGAACTATCGTTCTTACCCACCTACAAGGTGATCAAGAATAGTTTTTGTACTTATATTTCTAGTATTCCATCCAATATATCCTTTGAAAAGAAGCATCTTTCAAAAGTAGAGAATGTTGAGGAAAGTGATGCGATGTCCGTGTTGGACTTGCCGGAATTGGCCTTAGAATGCATTCTAGAGAGTCTTCCACCTGATGCTCTTTGCAGTATGGCGGGTGTTTGTAGATCATTGAGAGAGAGATGCATAAGTGACCATCTTTGGGAGAAGCACATGAAAAGAAAATGGGGTAAAGCTATTGGTCAAGCTGCTTACAGAGAGTGGCAATGGCATCTTGCTTCTAGAGCGGGTGCGGGTAACCTTAATCAAAACAATCAAAGGAGCTTAATTAGACTTTTTTCCTTTGGTTGGTCTCTTTCATGGATTAGATCAAAGGTTCATGACAAGAACATGCCACGTAATTCTCTACCGGTTGATTCTATCATGGCTTGGTATCTTGCTCTTGAAACTGGCAGATTCTGGTTCCCGGCTCAGGTCTATAACCGTGAGGTGAACAACTAGTGATCATATACTTCTTTTTTATGTATTCAAATTTCAACCCTTCTCATCATTAAGTTTTTAGCTCTTCCTGATCTAAATATTCAATTATGCAGAATGGCCATGTTGGTTTCATGTTGTCTTGTTATGATGCGGAGCTTTGCTATGATCCCCGTTCGGACACTTTCCAAGCGAGGTGATTAAGCGCAATTATCGTGCTGTTACCGTCTTTCTTTTACTTAGTTTCATTGCAGTAGTAGTAAATGGACTGTTTGTTACAGGTATCCTCCACATGGTAGGCGAGCAATCGCACTAGAAAACGGGGTGGAATGGGAGAGGCTTAGAGCACCACCCATCGATACTCCTCCGCACAATCTTCATGTCTCTGACTGTTTGAACGAATTATTCCCTGGTGACCACATTGAGATACAGTGGAGAAAGAACAAAGATTTCCCTTATGGTTTGTTCTTGAGCCTAGATCTATTTTCAGCTTTGGAATTATCTTATAGAAAATTAATCATATCAAGAAGCCTTCATGAACTGTTGTAACCTTTTGTAGCTTTGTTTGAGTCGTTAGTTAATTTAAGGGGCTGTGAAATATGGCGTGTGCATTGCAGGTTGGTGGTACGGAGTTGTAGGTCACTTGGAAACATGTGATGGGAATGATATTCACTGCAGATGTCATTACAGTGGTGAGTTTTATTCGGCACTTTTAATTTAAGCATTTATTTTGGATTGTTCCTTGGTGTGTGTGTTCTGAAATCTTGATTATGAGATTCAGCTCCAAATATAAACCAACTAAATGGAAGAATAAAGCATAAAGAATCAAGAGAGATCCACAAAAAGAGGGGACAGCCAAAAAAGAACACAAAGAACCAACTTTTGGTAGTAAGAAACAGAGGATATTACGAAGTAAATTTGACTTAAGAGCACAAAGAGAGGCATTACAATGTTAGGTAAATAGGTATAGGTCAAGGAATATCGGTTTAAGGAAGGTTTTCGGTTGAGCCTTTCCTTCCTGTTCAGTCTCATCAATCATTCCTTAAACCTTAAACCTGACTTGAACCTTTTCAAAAAGAAGAAATTGATGAGTCCAGAGGCAAAAAATAGTTCAGTCTCATTAACCCTCTTAAACCTAAACAAACAAGCCAACACCTACCTATTTAGAGCCTCAATCAAAGAGATAGTGAAACCCAAGTTCAATCCGGGGAGGATAATTACGAGTAAATCAGACTCAGGATCACAAAGAGATGCATTAAAAGGTTCTGCCCCCACCCCTGTCTTAGAATTAATTATTATCTGAACCTTTATATTTGTAGAAAATTACCCAAACGTTGTTTAGAAGATTAGGCATTACTTGAAATGTGGATGAAATGAATGTGGCATCGGCAGAGCCAGTTTGTCTGGGTTGCTATTTCAGCACCCTATCAAAAAGCATTTCATTTTTTAGATGTGGACCAAACTTTTTGTGCTATTTGGTTGGTCCCCTAGACATTATTGTCAGTATGTTATTATTTCTACCAACATATTCATAGCTTAGTCTGAGTGGAATTCTTATGTCCAACCACTCATCAATTGAATTGTCCAAGTGGAACGTTTATAGGCCAACCACTCTGAGGTAATTGAACGTTTCCCTAAGCCTTTTGAGTCGGTGATGTTCTTTACAATTGGGAAATTAATGAATTAGGAAAGTTCGATTTTATGGTTGAAACACTTCTCAAATTGGAATGGCTTGGATCATTGCATAAGTATAGACCCATTCTCTTCTACTAGTAATAATAGAAAGAAGCAATAGAAAGTGTTTGTTTATATGTTACTTTTGGTAACAGACACTGTGGTATTAGAGTTCAATCAGTACAACCCGGGTTCGAGATGGAGACTCGCAAGTATAAACCGAAAAGAACATCGAGAGGAAGGCAATGAGATCGACGGGTTCTACGGAGGAATCAGAAAGCTTCGGTTCGATGAAGAAATTTTGATGTGGAAGCAACTTTGGCCTACAGACATCTTGGAGTAGTAGATCCTTCTTCCTTTTGCGTTGTTCAGGACAGCAGAAGAAGATAAAAGGGAATCTGTATAGATTCATTGATGTGAAGAGCATAGCTGTCTACTCTCCATCCCACATTGTTGAGCTAATCTATTGCTTTAAATGTTATTTTGTTCCTTCTTTTCGCTTTAATGCGATTTGTGGTCCTTCTAAAAGTGCCTCCCTCTGATGCCTACATTCATGTTCAGCACACTAAGAGAACTCACGATTTTATAATACAATGTTGGGCAGTTGAGCGTCCCTTTCTTCCTTTCCGTTGTTGTCGCGGGGCAAATTTGAAGAGTTGTAGCTTTCTTTCTTTCAAATAAAGAAAAACACATATGCTACCCATTCATGCTTATCAACATTGCTCATCATAATACAAATTAATCCACTTTCGTAATTATTTGATTTTTTAAAATTAATCTTATAAATTCTGTATTATTGATTTGTTTACCTTAAAATTTCAAAAAATTAATTAATTAATTAATTTGAAAGAATTAAATTGATTTTCAATAACCACTAAAATTCCCAACCATATATGCTTGAGGGTAGAGAAGTTCTTATGTGGCTGATCTAGCGGACTTGAGACCGAGTTTTGCAAGTAAGGATAGAAGTTTGCTAAGCTTGTTTCTCTTCCACGTACAAAACCGTTTTCCATTTTTGCGATTTCCGGTCGACTTCAAAATGGGCCCCGACATTATGAACCTGTTGAACCGGCTCCCGGGTTCCCGGTCCATATTCACAACTGCTCTTGCAAATGCCAATCCTTTGGGTTCAATGAACAGTTTTGGGTTTTCTACTGGTCCATTTTTCAAATTGGGCTGCCGATGGGGTAACTGGAGGCCCATAATTTGTTCTGTTGAGTTGTTCGGCATTCGTGGAAATGGTGAATGGGCCGATTCGGGCCCATTACTGTTTTCTTGCGTTTTCCCCGTTCCGTCTTTCTTCACGTTCTGTAAGGCTACCAAGAAAGGATCAAAATCATCGTTCCACAAATTCTGATGAACAAATTTTATTTTGAGCGCCGAGACCGGTGATCGAGGCGACGATGTGGTGGAGCTTTTGCCGCTGCGATGTTCGTTGAGGCGTTCATGAGGCGGTGGAATCTTGAGCCGAGGAGGAAGAGGAAGGACCTTCCCGTCTGAAAATAGTTCATCGGCAAACGCCATCGCAGGTAAGGATGCATCTTCGATTTGCACTCGTTTCTTGCTTTGTTGCTCTGGCCGATCTTCTAGGTCGAAATCGACGTCGTTAAGGTTGAAACGGCAGCTAGTTTCGAATTCAAACTCTTCTATGGTAGAGTTTGGACGAGAATGTCCAAACGGAGATTTGCAGCGCTTCGGACTGGATGGCGCACTGTAAAACTCCATGTTCTTCATCTTCATTTTCGTGACTTTGGTTGAAAAATCGATTGTGGTTTTCATTTGACAGAAAACATTAGTTTTCGAAGCGAAGCATTATAAAGGAGAATGAGTAGCTTAGAGGAGAGATTGAGTGTAGAGGAATTTCTCCTGAATTGATGGATGAAGTTGTCATGTTTCTAAAGAAATTGAGTCTTCTTCTTGGAAGCTAATGTTTAGACAAGAATTTCTCTGTTCCGTATCTTCTCAAATCATCCGGATTTTCTGCATTTTCATCATATTATTTGCCGAATGACGATGGCCCTTGTTGAAAACAATTGGCTCTACATTCTTGTCCGATCATCAAAAAATGTGAATATTAAACATTCCATCAGTCCAAACTCTTGAAAATTCTGATGTTTGCAATCAAATTCTAATTTAGTTGAACATTCCATTGTCATTTAGAATATGAATATTTAGTTCTAAAAATTTACTAATTATTCTATTTTTCCTCTTCTAGAACTAAAGCATTTATTTTCCATTTTTTCTTCATATTTTCAAGATTATAGATAAGAACGATTTGGATAATCTCAAAAGACAAATAAAATAGTATAAACTATATTAGGTGTAAAGAAGCAATATGCAAACTATTTGCAAGCTTAGGCCATTTATTTAGTGTTAATAATTTAAATTTATAATTAATTTTTATTATTAAAAAAATGTAAAACACAATAGGGCAAGAAATAGAGGAATAAACAGGAAATTCCACCTTGCAATTGTCAATAATATTGTAAAATATAAATATAGATTGATCCATTTTAAATTTTGTAATTATAAATAATTGAATAAAACTTTTAAAAAAAACTTTATTTTACTGAGAAAAGATGATATACTAATGAACGTCAAAATAAAATTATATAGAAAATTGGGTATAAATATAAAATTTGAGGAAGAACGCGGGAGCTTTACGAATTATCCATATTAGAAGCTGAATTGTTCTTTTTATTTTTTTTTCAAGGTAAAAATACACATCTGTTTCCTCGTGGGAGATGTTGAATTGATGGAATCCCTTCCGTTCAACGCGCATCCATTGCAAGCTCAGTCCCACTGTTTCATGATCTCCCTCGAACTTCATCGCTTCAGATTTCTCTGTACTTCTTCTTCTTCGTCATTTCGTTCTTCAGGAATCCCTACTAGACCTTCTTCTTCGGTCCGGAAAGAAAGCAGCGGCGGAGTTAAATTGAAGATCGCCCACACTCAACTCAAGGACAACTGGTTGGCTTCTCTATCGTGTCCTTTTCCTCTAGGTCACGATTACTCCGCCAATGGAAGACCAGGAGACCAAAATGCGACTTCAGACTGTGTTATTGGTGTTGACCCCGACGTTTCTGGTGCTGTGGCACTCTTGAGAACCGACGAATCGATTTCTTCGGCTCAGGTAATTGTTTTCGTTATCTCGCATATGTTACTTTAGGTTTTTGTTTTACACATTCCTCAAATCTGTTTTAGGTAGGGATTCAAATGATATGTGTTTATTCTTATGTGGACTTCTCAGCTATCGTTGTTGCTTCGTTCAAATTCGGCAATTGGTTATATATTCTTAGCTGCTTCAGCCATAATGATTGAGAAATGAACAATAGTATGCAGATGAGAGCAAACAAAAAAAAAAAAAAAAAAAAAAAAAAAAAAAAAAAAAAAAAAAAAAAAAAAAGGAAAAGAAAAGAAAGAAAGCGTATCCATAATTTTCTTGGACAAAAAAGAACGGAAACATTTCTCTTTGGGATCCACTGGCCTGTTATTCTCTGAAAGCATGGTTCAAGTTTTTTCCCCTTCTCAATAGTACTATTAGTACGTAACTATGTTGTTCCTCTGTATTTTTAGTTTTAGAAGCCTTCTGGATATGAGAAGTGCTTATGCATCAAATGTAAATAGGGCTTATGGAATGTAAAATCTAACAACAGTACTCATCCATTTCAATGAATACATTAAAGCTCATCACCTCGTCTTTCTTATAGTAAATCTGTTGAGGGGTAATGGTTTCACAGATGTCTCCAGGCATCTCTTTTGATGACCATATTTACTCTCTCTAGAGGTCGGTACAATTTTTTTTTTCAATTAGTTTTATTTATTGTAATTTCTTTGTTCTTCAATTCTTTAGGTATACGATTCTCCTCACCTGCAAGTACTAGTTGGTGGAAAGAGACGGAAACGGTTAGATGCCAAGTCAATTGTCCAACTTCTTCACAGCTTTAATGCTCCCATTGGTACGATTATATATCTGTAGGTTATTGCCTTTGATTGTACTAGAATCGAGTGTTTATTTGATTCTCAATCATTCATGTTTCTGGGTAGGATGCCTCTGATCAAAACAAAAAGAATAGTTGGCTTCTTATAGCCGAAATAATTTACGCAGAGAAATTGGATGTGTCCTTTCATCTCTCTTTAGAGTTTCTTATACAAAAGGAAGTGCAGACTTAACAAATTGAGCTTCTTCACCCGAGACTCTTTAACTTCACATTTTTTTTTTTTTACGCTGGTTTAGTAGGAAAACGAAACAATATCCTTTTTCTCTTCTTCTCTTTGCTAGTAGGGTCTCCTCATTTTGATGCATAGTTATATTTTCTTCATTTAATCATTCGAGTGGTTCTGCTTTTAATATGTTGGTGATCCCTTACTTTAGGTACTACTGCATATCTGGAGCAGTCAACCCCATTTCCACAGGATGGAAAACAGGTATGCGAATGATTTTAGTTGGAGGACTCTGTAGAACCTAGATCTTGTGCTAAGAAGATGCAATCCTTGTTAAATTCGACACTTTTTTTTCTTCATTTGTTTTCTTGAATAATCATTCTTTTCTATTTTCATATGATGAGTCTTTAATTGTTATAATCAAACATCCAGACTGGTAAGTGGTCTGGCATATTTGGCAGGAGAGGAACCTGGAGAATATTTATGGATAATGCAGAGGAGTTACCTTGAGTGTGCGTGACTGGCTATTTTCTCTATTTCTTTTTGAGCTTCCATGACATAATTTGGAGGACTGGTTGAGCTAAAATCCATAGATTTTGTTTTGTTGGGTACATGGTCCTACCCTTCTTCTATTTTTTCGATTTCCATCTTTTAATAAATTTTGTTTTTATTTTATATTTTTGCTTTAAAGGGGTGGTGGAGTGGAGGATTCGGTTATGGATTGTGGATTGGCGTATTAGTTGGGCTGGGTTTTTCAGTTGTTCCTGTGCCATCTCTTGCGTGGAAAAACAAATTTCAGCTCTCAGGAAAGGATACTTCTAAGGTCAGTTCAGCCAAATTACCGACATTAGTCTAGAGAGCTGTTTCATTCATATATAGATCAAACACTTCACAATGTTCAACAATAAAAATGAAGGGCAAGCAAAGAAGCCATTTACTTATAATCAATATTTTAGTTTTCAGCATGTCTTTACCAGTATTAAAAAGTTATTTGCAGACTATATAATGTTAGGTTAAATTCTGTTTTAATTTAATGATTTTACACTTGTATGTTTTTTTGCAATCATCCTATGTTTCATTCTGAATAAGGACAAAGGTCGTCTCTTATGTGCTATTCAACTTTCGTATAAAAAAAATAAGGAAGTTACATCGCATAGAAGTTACAAACATATTTATAGGACAGAAATAGCCGACGGGTAACTGATTCTCTCCTAAATTGAAAACAGAGCAGCCATTTATCTCAATAATGGTTACATTTCTGTTTAGTTTTAAAACTTGGCTTTTGTTGATATGTGAAGAATTATACGCTTACCACTTCTACCATAATGCTTCACACTGTTACAGAACATGCCTTGTTCATTTAAAATTGTAACCTCTTTTAGTATCCCAATTTTTCTTGGAATGAATTGTCATAGAAGTCGATGAATCAATACTGAAGTTAAAAGGAGACCGACTTGAACTCTATGCTTTAATTTCTTTAATTAGTTAACTTTAACTGTATTCTATATTACTTGACTGTATTTGGCAGTAACGAAGAAGCCTTTTGTTTAGTACTTGCTACATTTTATGTAATTTCGCACCTTGAAATTATTTACTGACGATGGTTTCAAGAATTACTGAACTAGTTCCGGTGTTCTCCTTGTAAGTGCTAAAAGTCGATTATATTATTTTGCAGGTCCTGCTTTCTGCGATTGTATGCTTGATTGTATATTTTATTATCCAAAAGTATTCTTTCCCAGACTAATTTTATTTTTTATGTTGATTTGGTAGGATGATAGCCGGAGGGTTGCATCCACATTATTTCCAACTCTAAGCCCCCTTCTGAAGAGGAAAAAAGATCATGGTATTTTACTACGTATTCTGTTATCTGCACGTGTCAATACTTAATACGTTTATATTTGAACAAGAACTTGAATATCATACTTCACGAATCATACACATCTTCAGCAATTTAAATATGGAAGTCTTGGCCTTTTAAACTTCTATTTTTTTTAAATTTCGTGGCTCTAGGGTCTAAAATCGGTGATCAAAACCCAACATTTGCACGGTCATTCCATTACGTGTCGTGTACCAGGAAAAACAGAGTTTGGGGTGATATGATGAAAATTATTCTTTCATGAACCCCTTGAATATTTTCGCCTGGCAGAAGAAAGCTCTATGATCTTGGTCTTGACCTTATGATTTTCTCGTATTGGCAGGGAGGGCTGAGGCTTTACTCATTGCTGCTTATGGAAAAGGCTTGAACTTGAATGTGGAAACACCGTCCGTTTTGGAGGAGTCGGTAGTGTCTTAGAAATGGCAGCTGGTTCTGGCTTTCTTCGTCCCTTGAATTCAGGTTCAAGTTTGGTATTGAGTAGAATGAATGCGAATGATGGATCTGAGTGTATTCCCCATTTGATGATGAGGTTCTTTGCTTTAGATTATTTTGGCTCAGGCAACTATCCTTGCTAAGTAAGAAATGAGCCTTGTAGTAGTAAACAGAACATGATTATACCTTAAATGCATGTTCCCTCTTTATCACTTCAAATTAAAAGAAAAAATTATAAATTTAGTCTCAAATGTTTAGAATATGTCCATTTATTGTTTTAATTCAATTCTACTTCTAATATCAATTAATACTTTTAAAAATAAAATACAATAGCAACCTAGTAGATACAAAATTAAAGTTGAAAAATCAATGACATTTTAAACAAACATAAGGAATCAAAACTTGAAATTTAACCCAAAGTAAGGAAGTTGACAAACACATTGGATCTTTTTAAATTTTAGAACAGTGAGAAGGGAGAAATCTATAAGTAAAACTAGATTGGCTAAGGTTTTGACATTGACATGCGTCGGAAAAAAACTGGCCTGTGGGAGCATCTCATAACTTGTGCAGAAACCAAAAGCTCGGAGAAGAATGCGGAGATCTACTGAACTCGAGAGTCAATTTTGACAATAAATTGTAGTTAACAGCAAATTTACCTTCAAATCCTCATTGGCTGATATCTTTCATAAAAGTTTCGCCATCCAGCCTCGAAGTAAAAAGACAAACAGAACAAGTCTAATAATTTTAGGCCATATGCCATCTCTTCCAAAATGGTTTTTTGCCAGTCAAAAATCTTCCTGGTGCGCCAAAGCTCCTATTTAAGTGTGATCTCGTAGATGACTCCTTGAAGATTTCCAACCACAGATCGAGTTCCAGCTACTTCAGTCATCTGCATCCTGTGCCGAGAAGCTTCATCGAGTATCAGTGCATCCATGCTGCAAAGGAAATGAATGAAAACAACATTTGGTAAATAAAACATTTGTGCATTTGTGGTGGTAGTCTCCTCTTATCGACTATATCACTAAAGAACATTGCTTGAGGTAGTAATCTAAAGAACACCACAATTGCGTGGTTCAGGAAAGAAAAAGTGTGAAACTGCCAAGTGACGAAAATAACAAGTGATTATCAAATGGTGTTGTTCTGTGTGTGTATGTTTTGCACATCATGTCTGATGCTAGATGCTTAAAACTAGGTAGATGAGAAAAAAAAAAAAAACGGGATGGGGGCGGGGCAGGGTAGAGGAACTGGACTGTGGAAGGAAAGAAGTATGAAGCTAAAGCTAAATTTAGATGTCTACTTTGAACACTGACATTCAATGCACAATTTTCAATGGGCAGCAATAAGCCAGTGGTCCTTCCTAAAACTTCTCAGAGCCTTCTGGAAATCCAATATCAATTTATATTGTGGTCTTTATCACAAAGCAGCTCATCTATGTATAGATGCAGAGTGACTAGTCACTATAGTGGTTAAGTAATGGAACATTCCTATGTCTACCCTTATCAACAAAGTACGATTAGAGAGGTTTCTTGAGAAGCTGGAAACAAAATAATAGTACAAAGCCAAAGAGATACCCACATCTTAGCTCGGGATACGTATGCTAGAATGAATTTGCATTTTCCTCTTCCTCTTACTTGGAGGAGCTGTTCCGCTGTTTCGAAAAGCAAGGGTACACTTGATTGTTGAAAGCTTAATAACTGTTAAGGTTCTTCATAGATGAAAATGCAACATTTCCTGTAAATACAAGCTATACAAGCATATTTACATGCTCGTGGTTTCATTCTTGCCTAAAACCGTGGGAGGAACAAAACTAATGCTGCTTTATTCTGATATTCTTTCTATTTGGTAGAAGGTATGAATTAGAGAAAGGGTAAAAGAAAATTATTGAAACCAAGCAGCTAGAGTTTTACTTGCCTTTCTCCTGCCATTATATATCTGCATGGAAATTCTCAACCCTAATAAAATCTTTAATACAAAAAATAGAAAATGAAAGAAAGAAAAGTTGCCTTACGTAAAAGGATTAAAAAATTATTAAAAAAAAATGTTGAAATAGAAGAAGAAGAAAACAAAGGAAAAGAAAACAAACAATCCTGCCTTTCAAAGTCTTTCTACCCCTATATGCCAAACCAATTATCGACCTAATGTGGCAGCCACAGGCATTAGCTAATATATGGATTTGAAATGTGAAGTATTAAATACCAATAGAGTGAATAGACCCAAACTCGTGACTTGCATAAGAAGTCTGATTAAGGGATAGAACATTTGGTCAAGGTATAACATGTTCCTAAGAATAACCAATCGAGGATGAATCAATCATAATATCATATCATATCAGTATTTCTACCACCTAGGAGAAGATTATACCGTCACATTCTATATTTTACCAATTAGCAAAGGGAGGAATTTTTGGTGAGTTTTAAAACCTTAGGCTCATTCCATATCTCTGCTGTTCAACACCAAAATTGATTTTGTCATATTAACATTTCTTGAGCAAAATGAAGAAGAAAGAGTCAGGATATAGATATCAGCTCCAAGAATTAGATCAAATCCACCAGAATACTTATCTATAACTTGGGTTATCTGATCAGAATTTCCCCATTCAAGCTTCTCAGCCACTAGTCCTGCATAGAATTGTAAATATCAGAACATCCAAACAAATAACTTATTTTCCATCTTGTTTCTCTCACCAGTAGAATTTCCGAAGGATTCAGGAGATGAGTGAAGCTGTATATTTTGCTTCAGGATCTGTGATATAATATAAACGGGGTCGTGAAACAATAAATAGAGAATAACCACTTACATATATTTTAAGTTTATTCAGATTAGTTTAATTACTTCACCTTTAGAACTTCCTCGTTATGATCTGTCAACACCACTTTGTGGCAAAATTTGCTGCAAAGTATTCCAGTGATACCTGTATTTAAGGCAATCACCCATATCATAGCAGAATTTCATCATTGGGCATAATATGGAAAATAGCGACAAAATGCAAGAACTTCCATTGGATAAGTCTATTCTCTCTATGCCTTCCACTTGATAAGTCTATCCAGTAAGTATAACCATATTAAACATCTCAATATATGATTTACATGCACTAACTACGCAGTGTATCTCTGCTATAGAAGTCACAAGGGGAAGAAATTAAATTCAGTCAAAGTATACATACCCACACCAGATCCTAATTCAATGATAGAACATCCTTGAAGCAGGTGAGCATGTTTCGAAAGATAGTTGTTCATCAGCAAGGCACCGGGCCACACTAATTGCCCCGTTAAATCAAAATCAGCTGTTTCAAGAATTGTGAAAATAAATTAAACATTAATACAGCATGAATATATGGATTCTACCCTCAAATTTTTAGATGCTTGGAACATCAATCTTTACAAGGTAGAGATACAAAGAAATTCAAGAAACGTATCATATAAACCCAGACATTTGGGGTCACATTTAGCAAATAAAATATGAATCCTATTAACATCATTGACAAAAGCCACAATGGGGATTCTATTATCCACAAACAATACATGTGACAGAAAGATTCCTCCTAACCCGAGTCTAAGAAAATTGCACAATATTCGCCAATTAGCATTAACAAACAGAGAGCGTGGATACAGAAAGCCATAGCAAGGCAACTCCAACAAGAAACTCACCAGATTTTTTAAATATTTCAAATACCTAATATAAGCCTGAAATTCAAGTCTACCCTCACCTGAGTTTTCAAATATCCAATATTAACTTTCACAGGTTCGTTATTTTTATTGTATTATCGATCAATTTTATCATTTGAATAAGTCTAAACCCTAACAGTTCCAAAAAGAACCGAGCTAATAACATTGATCACCCTTAGAGAATGATCGTAGTAATCTGGTGCATTTGCGAGCATAGATAGGCATCTTGGTGCCAACAATTACTTTATAGTTTCCTTCAATTAATGTTTGTTAATATCATACGAATTCATAAGCGAATAGTAACATCCGTGAACTTATCGGATTGGCATAAAGCAAATTACGCACATCGTCTCATTTGACATCGAAACTAACAAGGTACGGCAATGTCCAGGGAAGTGAATCCAAAAGGAAACAGTGTCGAAAATCCTCCAGTAATCCGAGACAAAATTTGGTAAATAGTATTTTAACGATGCAATCACGTAAAATGGAACATACTCCTCAAATCGCAGAAGTTGAAAAAGCAAACTCACTAGAAGCAGACTGAAGACAGAGGAGTTCAATCTCATGGGACCCGAATGCAAACGTGGTGAGCTGATAGCTGCATATTCGTATACCAGACACCATAAGATTCTAGCAGAAAGAAACAAAAAAAAAAAGAAAAGGAAAAGGCATTGATAAAGAGAGAATTACTCATTGTTCATAAAGAATGAAGCATCTAAACAAACGATGTCCTCTTCTTCCTCTTCTCTTTCCATCTATCGCTGCCTTTGCAAAAGCTTCGACGCTCAGAAGGTCTACACTCCGCGCTGCAGGTCTGGAGTTGGGTTAAAGCTCAAGCTCAAGCGCGCGCGCACAAAATGGTCCGCCTGTCTTGAATGAGAGAAAAAGCTGGCAAATTGCTCGCCGACTTCAAAACTACAAACTTTATCAAACTTAATTTACTTCAAATTGACATTTTTTTATATGAACTCGGAGTAATGTCAACAAAATTGTGTATGCTCGACGGGATCACAAACCCTAAATACTAATAATTCATTCGTGAGATCTTATATCAGTTGAGAAAATAATATAACATTTTTAGAGAAGAAACTTTTTCTTAGTAGAAATATTTTAAAATCGAGAGATTTACGTCGATAGGATTTAGGGTTTAATATATGTTACGGGTGGATTTGAGCCGTTACAAATTGTGTCAGAGTCAGTCACCGTATGGTACGACATACTGGTCGATGTATGAATAGACTCTCTTCATAGTAGAGATAAAAAACGAACAATATTTATTAGTGGTGAATTTTTTTTTTCTTCTAGAAGATGCAATCAACTTCACTGCTCAAGAATTTGTGACAAAGTATGTAGATTGTCAATTTAAAAATGACGAGCTGAATGATGATGCCCATCACATTGTTTATTGAGCCAGACATGATGAAAAAGGATATAGCCACGGGCATTCCATATGCCTTAAAGAGTAAATGTGAGGTGTCACGCTGGTCAATTTGGAACTATTTGAAGGTGGCTGGTTTGTCAGTATCACAACTTACTCTCTTTTTTAATGTTAATGTAATACAAGACACATAAGTTAAAGATCAAAAGAATATAATTAATATTGATATAGAATTGAATTTTTTTTTTCGAACTATTATTAAAAAAAAAAAAAAGGTTGTTTTTTCTGAAAAAGGACAAATCAGAGACCATCTTCTTATTTCTTAATGGGAGAAATTAAAAATTAATTTGAAGAGAGGAAGCTTAAGGGAATGAAGAAGAGACCAACTTCCAACTGACAACAACCTACCACCTCTCCCTCCCCAGAACAGAAGAAACCACAATTTATTGATACTGACCTAAAATTCTGTGATGGAAAAGAGAGAGAAAATATATGCAAATTTCCGCATTTACGACGTCCACCAACCCAACAAACACAGGCAAATTTTAATTTCATTTTTGTTCGCAACGCGGTTTGTTGCTCTTCAATTTCATCGCATCGGTTACCATTTCATCATCTCTACCGCGCTGAAGTGTTCCTTTCCTGATTTCCCGCTTTAGGTTCGATTCTTTTCTTCTCTTCTCTTCTCTTTCCTTTTTGCCTTTTTTTGTTTAGGTTTTTTGGAATTTTTTTCTGGAATTTCTGTTGCTCGTGTTTGGCTGTCCAGAAAGTGTAGGTAGAGGGAAATGGCATATTATAGAAGTCATTGATATTGTTGCCATTCGCTGTTTCTATGGTGTTCATAAATTATACAATCTGTACGCTAATTTGTTCGTGTGAAGGAGTTGGGTTGATTTTGTAATTTAGTTTTTCTCTTTTGAAAAAATGGGTTATGATCATCGCCTGCGAGTTTTCTCTAATCCTGAATTGCGATCGCTTCTATTAGTTTTTTTGAACATGCTTGTTACGGAAGATTGTTGAAATTCAGTTGTTATATTGGATATAGTTCTCCTATTACTTACTTTGAGCCCTCAGTTTTCTATCATATGCCATCTCCTTGATGCTATCCTGAATTTACACACAATGTTAGAACTTGTGGATGGATTGTTGAAACCTCCCCTTTAATCTTTGATTTTTAGGGGGCCAATGAAACTTAACTTTCCTTATATGGGGAAGTCGTGAGATGTCCTTGTAATGGTGTATTTCAAGAAAGCATGTAACAACTCAAGCCTACTGCTAATAGATATTGTCCTTTTTAGGTTTTTCCTTTCGGGCTTCCCCTCAAGGTTTTTAAAATACGTCTACTAGGGAGAAGTTTCCACACCCTTATAAAGAATGTTTCGTTCTCTTCTCCAACTGATGTAGGATCCATCCCCTTCGGGGCCCAGCGTTCTCACTAACACTCTTTCCCTTATCCAATTCATGTGGGACCCCCTAGTCCACCCCCTTCGCGGCCCATTATCCTTGCTGGCACATCGTCTGGTGTCTAGCTCTGATACCAATTGTAACGCCCTAAGCCCACCATTAGCTGATATTGTCCTCTTTAGGCTTTCCCTTTTGGGTTTCCCCTCAAGGATTTTAAAACGCATCTACTAGGGAGAGGTTTCCACACCCTTATAAAAAATGCTTCGTTCTCCTCCTCAACCAATGTGGGATCTCACACTTACATTTGAAGATGGAATCTATATATACCATATGGTGGACATGTATGCATTGGATATTTTTTGATGGCAAGAAGAATATTTCTTTATCAGTTACACGCAAGATCAGAATGAGCATGCCAGTGCGCTCTTGCCATTCCATTCTTGAGTGAGCTCAGTGTACAAAACATCTAGGGTATAGTTGCTTGTCTTGATTGGTACATTTGTGAATGAGAGGTGTTTGTTCAGTGCAACCTTGAGATTGAGTATTGGAGGATTGTGCATTTAAGAATTTAATATTGACGTGCAATGGAAGACTTATGAAAGAGGAATTTTTGGACCTCCATTAGAAAAATAAAGCACATTACAGAATTTGTAGCTTCTCATTATCTGTACTATTTAATGTGGTGATGGTGTATTTAAACGGTGTAGATACAAAATTACTAGAAGTTGTTTTAACTATGACGAGTAAGATTAATATATTTTTTGGATAACTGGGCGTTTGAGCTTTGCTCACCTTGAGGTACTTGTGACCGCCCCAGGCTCTGAAGATATCAAGGTAATAGCCCAAGTCCACCGCTAGCAGATATTGTCCTCTTTAGGCTTTCTTTTTTGGGCTTCTCCTCTCTTCAACAAGTTTTTAAATCGCATATGCTAGGGAGAGGTTTCCAACCCTTATAAAGAATGCTTCGTTCTCCTCAACCGATGTGAAATCTCACATCAAGTTTTTGGTATTAAGATCACCCGAAGGTTTTAACTTGGAACTTCTAAGCTGGTATGACTAAGAGACCCCAAAAGCCCTTGTCATCAATTTGCAGACGATTTAGTACAAACGTGCATTTTATCTTATGTTGGAGCCCCTGCCCTGTTGCTTGGGAGAGCTATTTGCATCTAAATTTATCAATTGGAAGTTGAGACTTTCTTTCTTAATTGGCATGTGGTGAATGCACGAATAGGTCATCCATTGTATGAAATTTGATGCCTATGAAATTTCATTATATATTGATCTTCTTTACTTATATATGAGAGACTAAAAGAATAAATTTAATAATTGCTTGTTTCTTCAATCAAATAATATCACACCAGTTGATAGAAGCAATTATAAAAATAGATTTAACTAGTCTATTATTAAGGTTTCATCTGTTATTTGTTCTTCTGCAAGTAAGATAGCTATATCACTCTAGACGTGGCAGAAAACTTATTTGGTTTATTTCTGAAACTCAGTTCTGGTTTTTGCTTCTGCCTCCACAATGTCGAGTTTGGAGGAGCCACTTGGTCTTGACAAGTTGCCAAGCATGAGCACAATTGACCGGCTACAAAGATTTTCATCTGGTGCCTGCCGACCAATAGGAGATGACATGGGAATGGGTATCTGCTGGATTCAAGGGGGGAGAAGCAGCTCATCCAATACTTGCAAGTAAGCAGAATATCAAAGTCTTTTTGGAAGAAAACCGAACTTTTCTTAATTTTTTCAGCTTGCTTTTGCACATTTTGGTTCTGCAATTCTTGTTGGTATGGGATGGTTCTATGACAGAAGACCACCTTGCAAAAAATCTGGGCGCATTGTTCTTTCAGTTATTTCTTACTAAATTGTCATTTTTGCAATCAACTCGGCCACACTTTTCTCCAATATGACATGTCATTCTCAGGGAATATGATGAGGATGCTAGAGAGACGTTTCCGTGGAGAAGACATAGGAAAGACACATCCCAAAATGGCTCTGTCAATAGGAGGACGATGAGCACAGGCCCGGAAAAATTAGTATCTGGAAATTTTTGTGATTCACATTGTTCTCCAGGTCATGAATACAGGACTAAGAGTAGTAGCAACAACATACAGCATACTACAAATAAGGTGATTTGATACTTATTACACCTGCATACCTGTAACCACTCTCTTTGTTTTACCCGCATCCATGCATTTCTGTATTCTTTTAGTTGTTTTTCTTGCTATACCTCGTACCTACCAAATTCTAGATGTTTTGCAAACTTTTATCAGAGGATTTGGTGGGCTATGGAATCTCTCTCTCTTAGAATGTGACCTTTTCATACTTATTTTGGACACGGGCTTGCAGTTTTTGAAAGATATACCAAAGTTTGTGAAGATAGTAGAAGTTGGTCCAAGGGATGGGCTTCAAAATGAGAAGGGTATGGTACCTACATTTGTGAAGGTTGAATTGATCCATAGACTAGTATCTTCAGGATTGCCTGTTGTTGAGGCTACCAGTTTTGTATCACCTACACGGGTGCCTCAGGTACTTTTGGTTTAAGTTCCTATCTTTTTTAGCCTTAGTTTTAAAATGGTATTAAAAATAGTCGTTTGAATCTCTTTTGAGTTCATTAAGGTATATACTCAGTCTTCTTTCTACTTTAGTGGTCTTGCCTTTACTGTTTACATCGCTTGATTGCTACAAGACGAACTAATGTTGCTGTGGATTTGAAATAAGTTCTTTAAAACTTCTCATCATTTAGGATTTCTAAATTCTGATATCATCTGATTAGGAATTAGAGTGGGAGTTCGCAATAGTTTGATCAAATGAAAACATAGTTCATTTCTTCGATTTACCATACCATGTCACTAGTGCTCCAATATATGTGTGTTACGTAAAGTATTTTTTTTTTTTTTTTTTTTTTTTTTTTTTTTTTTTTTTTTTTTTTTTTTTTTTTTTTTTTTTTTTTTTTTTTTATCCTTTGTCCAGTTATCTGATGCAGCAGAAGTGATGGAAGCCGTTCGTAATTTGGAAGGTGCTAGGTTGCCAGTTTTAACTCCTAATTTGAAAGTGGGTCATCTTGTAAAATAATGTTGATTTTTTTTTTTTTTTCGAACATGGATGGATTGAATCCTCTCTCCTAAAACTTCACCTTCTTCCAGGGGTTTCGAGCAGCTGTTGTGGCTGGAGCAAAGGAAGTGGCAGTCTTTGCATC